GCAATGTCTTTTACAGTCCTGATAAAGACAGATCTTTGGACTGATTTTTGATATTTCCATGAACAAGTTAAATTGAAATGAAGGGAGGAAGGGAGGAAGGGAGGAAGGGAGGGAGGGAGGGAGGGAGGGAGGGAGGGAGGAAGGAAGGGGAGGAAGGAAGGAAGGAAGGAAGGAAGGAAGGAAGGAAGGAAGGAAGGAAGGAGGAAGGAAGGAAGGAAGGAAGGAAGGAAGGAAGGAAGGAAGGAAGGAAGGAAGGAAGGAAGGAAGGAAGGAGAGAAGCATAATATCACTGGGTGGAAATGTGCTGCTAAGAAAACATTGGATGACATCATCAACAGATAAAGACTGGAGTACTGGAGAAAAATTGAGATGAGAGAAAATGAGGGCTAGAGCAAGAGAAATGGGTTGTAGTACCAAATGCAGTCACAGTCAGGCTTCAGTTACTTCACCTCTGCAAAAAAAACTTGCTTGCCTTATTGCAAGATTCATTTCTGCTGCCTTTAACATTTTAAAAGCTGAGTTGTAAGACACTAAAACAATTTCTGTTACTATTCAAATTCTGCTGGCAAAAAAGCTAGGCTAAGCGTCGATGAAATTAATCCAACCTGTTTATACCCCACAGTCCTTACTGACATTGTAAAACTGGATGGAGGAAGAAGTAGCAAACATCTGACATTCCACTCACCTGCCACATTCAGATCAACCACCACTTCATCATACCAATTCTCCAGAAAGATACTGCAGGTGTATTTCCCTTCATCAGAGAGCATGACATTTTCAGGTGAAGAGACATGTTACCCTTATTAAATTCAGTCTGAAAGAAATTTGTCCTGCCTGTATGTCTCATCCTCACTAATTGGATTTTGTTTGTTTTTTCCATCATAGGTGGTCACAGAAATTCTCTGGGATTTTCCAATAAATATCCACTGAACAAAAAGTCTCTCAGGGGTTGTCTTAGCTTCCAGCTGACAGGGCAAGGTGACTCCTTTCCCAATGACTCCAATAACAGGATTGTCAGGAGGTATAATTTTAAACTGGCCTGCAAGAAGACATAGATGTAAATATTGAGTGTCACTGATGTTCTCATTAACACTTCCAATAGGAAACTGTAATATCGGATTTGTGAATGTAATAAAAAGTAACTATTCTATACAGTTCATCAGAAAATTCTGTCAATCAGGATGTTATCTCAAGAGCAAGTTCTTTAATCTCACACTGTAAAATCAGAGACTAGTGAAACCAAACAAAATGTAGTAGAAGACATCCCATAGCAGTAATCAGATCACATCTCTGTAGATCCACATGAGCGTATAAAAGCACTTTGTGTGTGTGTGTGTGTGTTTTTCCATCCTCTGCCATCCTTCATCACTACCACTTATCTCCTCAGAGCGTAGTATAACCTCAGTGAGGTGTTGCTAGAAATACTGAGCTCAGCTTGTAAGCAAGTTCAGAGGTAGAAAAGACATGTCTACCATGCAGAAAGTAAAGATCATTTTGTGAAGCTGGAATTCAAAAGGTGAGAGTCTGCTGTTTACCTAACATCAGATGTCTATAACATTCTCACTAGGACAACTGTGTTTAGTGATGAAACACACCACAGTAAGTACATTTAATTTCACATATAGTCTATTTTTTGAAATATAGTCATTTATAAAAAAAATAAATCTTGATGTTTAACAGCAAAAATACCATTGGCTCTTTACAGTTTACTTTCCTATTCAGCCACTCTAAAATGGGCAGCTCTTGGCTTTCTCAGCTTGATAAAAGTGACAGGGCCAGCTGAGCTGAAAAAAAACAAAAACAAAACAAAAACACAACTCCAAAACGGAGAATTGAAAGTCCCTTATAAACAGGCATGTAAGGCCAGTAAATCTAATTTTAATCCCATATTGAAGATTTAAATGAGTCTTTAATATTGCTTAGACATTGTATAATGTGAATGAATGGAGTATATTACGATTTCATATAATCCTACTCTTTGTTTCAGCTTCATAAAAGGAGTGGAGGGAATGGTGTGTGTCTATATAAAAAGTATAGCTACAAATATATTGCAAAATAAAATACTCATTGACAAACAACACACAAGTCTATAGTTTCTTCTCTTCTCTTCTCTTCTCTTCTCTTCTCTTCTCTTCTCTTCTCTTCTCTTCTCTTCTCTTCTCTTCTCTTCTCTTCTCTTCTCTTCTCTTCTCTTCTCTTCTCTTCTCTTCTCTTCTCTTCTCTTCTCTTCTCTTTTTCTCTCTTCAGCTGCTCTGAAAATTATTGTCTTTTTAAAATCAAATTCGGATTAGAACAAAACACAGACTTACCTGTGACCAAATGAGCTATCTGTAGAAAAATAATCATGTGAAGAGTCATTGCATACTGAAATCTGGAAGCCATCATTCGGAAGACATCAATAAGCAACACTTGCAGGGCAAATATTACCAGATTCCTGTAATATTTTCAAGCACAGAATGGAAAATTAGAAGACTGACACAAGAACCAGTGCCATGTTTACATATGTATGTGTATTTATGTCACTGTATATGGAGTCACACAAGAACGAATCCTTAAAGGTATTTAGGATGAATCCTAACTTGAATGAAACTAAGACAGTGAACGAATAAGCTGTTTTTAATGGAAGATGATCAATTAATTTATGTTTCCAAGACTTTTACTTGCTAGCAGAGAAAGAGTGATATTTCTGAGACTTAGAAGGACATTATATTGGATCTTAAGTGCTTTCACAGGCCTGACCTCCAAAGGTCCCTTACAGACTATGTGTTCAGGAAACCTCTAGTCTGGATGCCAACAACTAGCATATTCTAGATGATGAGAGACTAAATATATACCCAACAAGATGTATCTAACTTCAGGGAAGTGACACCATGAGGCAGGTAGAAGTCATACAAAAAGCAACTTCATTTCTAAGTCCCACTAAAAGACACTTGTTCTGCATTGAAATTCCATATACTGTTTCTCTACTTAATCATGCTTAGTGAAAACTTCTGTTGTTGTTAATTTCCTGATGGAGAAAGGGGCTAGGGTTTCTAGAAATAATGTTTAAAAATTCCAGAAGACAACAACAACAAAATCATGTTTTTTTCTTTTGTGAATAAAATACTTAAGTATTTCTAACAGTAGCAGACTTGTGTGCCATTTAAAATCAAGAACTGCAAGCATTCAGCTTGGGAAATACTTAATGAATTAGCTTTTAAATTGTTATTCCAGGCCCATACATTCAGTAAAAGTAGCTATGAGTAGAACTGACCTGCTTTCCATGAGCTAACTAACTATATACAGATCCTTGGGTAGAAATATATAGGTAAGACAAAGTGACCTATTGGGTTACTGTTAAGAAATTCAGAGATGATACAGAATCACAGAATCACAGAGTCATCTGGGTTGATAGAGACCTTCAAGATCACCTAGTCCAACCTCTGACCTAACACTAACCAGTCCTCCATTAAACCATATCACTAAGGTCTACATCTAAGTGTCTTTTAGAGACCTCCAGGGATGGTGACTCAACCACTTCCCTGGGCAGCCCATTCCAATGCCTAACAACCCTCTCAGTAAAGAATTTTTTCCTAATATTCAACCTAAACCTCCCTTGGTGCAACTTTCTCCCATTCCCCCTCGTTTTGTCACCAGGCATGTGGGAGAATAGACCAATCCCCACCTCACTACAGCCTCCTTTAATGTACCTATAGAGTGCAATAGGGTCGCCCCTGAGCCTCCTTTTCTCCAGGCTGAATAACCCCAGCTCCCTCAGCCATTTCTCGTAAAACTTGTTCTTGAGACCCCTCACCAGCTTCATCGCCCTTCTCTGGACTCTCTCAAGCACCACCATGTCCTTCTTGCAGTGAGGGGCCCAAAACTGAACACAGTACTTGAGGTGCAGCTTTGCCAGAGCCGAGTACAGAGAGACAATCACTTCCCTAGACCTGCTGGCCACTGACATACAGTCAGTGATACACTGACATGCAAATCTAGGAATCTCACCCACTGTTTATATATACATATATACATACATATATATATATATATTATAAAATGTAAGTACCTTCCCCTGATCAGAGCTTTCCCTATGAGCTCTAGAAATAATTTAGTCCAGCCAAGACTACTTATAGTACAGACTCACATAAATGTGCATGGGAAGGGACTAGTTTCTTTAGAGTCTAAAAGCATTACTGTTCATACGTAAGGACTGCAGAATATACACAGTGCTCACTTCTTTGTGAAAGCTAACCCATGTGCATTTTTTTCCTAACAAAAGAACATGGACCAGTAAAAAGTTTAAAAGGAAACTAGGAATTGTAACTGCCAAATGTTATGCCATGGTTGTAGTCTGCACTCACTCATTTATACTTCTGTTGAACTACCAACTGTTCACTGGAATGCAAAGTTAGCTTTACTGAGATCTAAACTGAAGGAAGGAAGAATAAAAATACTGAAAGCTGCAGCTAAACTACTGAGCTTTTTGTGTCTTACTTTTATTTATTTCTGATTTACACTGCTCCATATAAAGGTAAAGGCTCATACATCAGCTTTTATTAAGAAAAGAAAAGAAAAGAAAAGAAAGAAAAGAAAAGAAAAGAAAAGAAAAGAAAAGAAAAGAAAAGAAAAGAAAAAGAAAGAAAAGAAAAGAAAAAAAGAAAAGAAAGAAAAGAAAAGAAAAAGAAAAGAAAAGAAAAAAAAAGAAAAGAAAAAGAAAAGAAAAGAAAAGAAAGAAAAGAAAGAAGAAAAAGAAAAGAAAAGAAAAGAAGAAAAGAAAAGAAAAAAGAAAGAAAAGAAAAAGAAAAGAAAAGAGAAAAGAAAAGAGAAAAGAAAAGAAAAGAAAAGAAAAGAAAAGAAGAAAAGAAAAGAAAAGAAAAGAAAAGAAAAAGAATGAAGGAGAAAGAGAAAATGTTTCACTGATTTGTACCAGTATCTGAAAAAATTTGCAAAGATTTATTGCTTATATATTCAAGAATATACAAATCCGTATCCTCTGTATTGATTATTTACAGAATAAATTTATACCTCTGTTATATTTCATTAACAAAAATGATCTATATTGTGGTATGTATAATAAATCATATTTTTATATACCTATTAGAAAAGTAGGTATAATAAGTCTCTATTTCTGACCAAAAAAAAAAAAAGTGCAATTTTGCTTTCATAAATGGAAATAAGTTACAGCCCTCAGCCCAAACCCCAACCACTACAAGTTTTGGAAAAACTCTCTTTTGAGCAACCTAGCAAATAAAAAGTAGCATTTCAGCAACAAATCTCTTTAATAAAGGTTGCTAGTAGATAGCATCTGATGAAAACCATAATCATAGATTAGATTTATAAATTGTCTGTGATTCTGTGATTATAAACTCTTAAGAAAACAGATTGCTTTAATCTTCATATTATAGAAAGACTTTAAACAACCTTTAACAATTTCTTTAAAATGTCACCCACAAAAGACAATTATATATTCTCATTGATCCAGGCAAGAAAGGAACCATCTTAAGTCCAGACCAAAATCATTTCCTCAAGACTGTAAATAGCAAAAGACTGTCTCAATATTCATACAAACCACACCAAAAACTTAATTGTGCACAGTTCTGTTTCAGCCAGAATTTGATTCCTTACCTGAAGAAGAATATTCAAAGTATCCATTTTAAATTCAGCATGCGTTACAAAAGTAAGGAATCTTTGAGGTTGACTTGTATTGCCTGAGCATATGTACTTTTGTTTTCCATATCTATAGAGGGGGTAGACTTTAGTAATTTACTCACTCAAGCTAACAACTATTAAAGACTGAACTTTCACCACTAGCAACTTATTACCTTTGGGTCTAACAATCTATGGTAAGAGATATCTAAAGGTGGAATTTGCCCACACACCTAGATCCAAAGTGCAACTTTCAAACACCGGTGTACCTGTTCAGTGCAACTGATGTTCTTGTATGACTTTCTGACAATTGCTGCAATTAAACTGAGAAAACATGATAAAACTGATAAAGCATGAACAAAAGAGAGAGAAAACAGAATAAGGGATGTTGCCTGAGTCCATTACCCATGAGGATGATTTGAAATTAGAAGTATGAATATACTGCTCAAAGACCATGTAGGAAATCAAAGTAATTTAGAAAAGTTAAACCTTATGATTCAATTATACCAGCTTTTTTATGTATTAGAGGGAGGGAAAGTTAAGATCTGTAGAAAGAAGGGAAATATTTTGATTTACAAGAATCAGATCCTAGACAGAGAAAAAATTACTGAACTTCTAAACAGGGCTTAATTCCCCTTCACTTACAGGTGAAATGGATTCTTTGTGTCACTGACATGAGATTGCACTAAGATTTAAAGCACTATTGTTGTTACTGTTTGTTGTTATGTTTGTGTGTGTGTTTATTTGTTTTGTGGTCCCTAGGAAGGATCAGTCATTTTGATAGCTATTCAAGATGCAGTTACCAATCAAGGAAGGTTCAACATTCTGGACGGTAGAGGGAGCATAATCATTCAGCTGAGACATGGAAACTTTGCCCAGCGGGTCCTTGCCCAGCTTCCCTCCTTGCCTGCCCTCCCTGCCTGCATTTTTACAGATAGGATTGGGTTGCCCAGGGCCTCGTGCAACCAGATCTTGAACACCTCCGGGGATGGGGCATATGCAAATTCTCTTGGCAACCTGTTCCAGTGCCTCACTACCCTTACAGTGAAGAATTTTCTTCTAATGTCTAATCAAATCTACCAACTTTTATTTTAAGACCATTTCTCCCTTCCCTATCATTATCTGAGTAAAGAGTCCTTTTCCATCCTTTTTATAAGACTCCTTTAAGTATTGAAAGGCTGCAGTGAGGTCTCCCCAGAGCCTTCTATTCTCTAGGATGAACAACCCCAGCTCTCTCAGCCTTTCTTCATATGAGAGGTGCTCCAGCCTTCTGATCATCCTTGTGGCCCACACCTTGTGGTCCACATCTTTCTTGTGCTGGGGGCCCCAAACCTGGACGCAGTACTCCAGGTGGGGCCAATCCTTCGGGAGTGGACTGCTCAGGTCCCCTGCAAGCAGCAGTTAATGCCAGAACTCCTGATCCACCATGGTCTCCTATCTATGGGCTGCAGGTCCTGCCTGGGCTCTATGCCTGCGGGGCTCTCCATGGGCTGCAGCTTCCTCCAGGCCACCTGCTCCACTGTGATCTCCTCCTCCAACTGCAGTGTGTAGATCTGCTCTGCAGTGGGACCCATGGGTGCAAGGCAACAGCCGGCTCCAGCAGGCACCTCTCCATGGGCTGCAGGGAAAATTGTGCTCTGCGTCTGGAGCATCTCCTGCCCTCTTTCTTCACTGACCTTGGAGTCTGCAGGGCTTTTTTTGTTCACACATTTTCTCATTCCTCTCCCATTTGCTGTGGCACAGCAGTTATTTCCCTTTCTTAAATATGCTATCACAGAGACAAAACAAGTGTTAAGTCCTTGGCTTGGCTCTGGGCCTTTTGGAGTCATTAGGAGCTGGATCTTCTCCAACATGGGGCAGCTTCTTGAGTATTGTTGCAGATGCCATTTGCTACCATAGTGTTGCCACATAAGCCCAATATACCTGCTCTTTATGGTCATCCTGGGCTCCATCATTCAGGAGGTTCATTTTCAAGCAAGTTCCTTTGTGGTTTCTCCAGCTTTGCCTCTGGAAAGATGTTTTTAAGCATCACTTATGCTTCTTCAAAAGTCTCCCTTCCTAAGTGACTGTAGGATTTACTACAAATTCAGTTGTGTTTCATGCCCTGGTATAAAGATAAAAATATACGTTTTTCTGTAGTTTTCTTGGAGGGTGCTTGAAAGTGGGTCCAGTAGTACTGAGTAAAATCCAACCTGAGTGATGATGATATTCCTGCATCTTTTATAAAATGTGCCTGAGGAGGTTCCTGGGGTGTTCTTTTAATAAATTTAATTTAATTTCCCCAGGAAGCATTTCAGCTAACAAAAGAACTTCAGCTATGCAGTTACTGCAGAGAAATTGATTCTGAATGTAGCCATACTCAAATTATATATATATAAATAATATTATAATATATTATATATTATTATATTATTATATATAATATATATAAATTATATATATATATATATATATATATATATAGTACAAATCTATGTCTTTCTTTTGAGAAATAAGCAACTCTTTTTTCACCAACCTTCCATAAACTTTGTATCTCTGGAAAACTACACAGCTTAATCAAAATTTGGTTAGAAACAGTAGTGTTTCTAACTTCAAAAATCAGAAGGATGAAGGAGATTGGCACACTTTGCCCACATAAACTTGGTTTCCAGTCATGTTTTTGTTTAAATAAAATAAAATAAATAATAATAATATATATAATATAAAATAACAATAATAAAATCTGGAGTAAAGTTAATAAGCTATTTGGCTGACATTTTCAGTCAACATAGTTCTTGTATTCCATGATTTAAAACAGGAAATATGGAAAGAAGTTTCCCCCCAAAGCAAAACAAAACAAAACAAAACAAAAACAAAAAGACCTTTTCTATTCTACTGCCACACACAGCAGTTCTAGAACATATGTTTTTCAGGAATCTTCTATACAATCTGGATATGGAAAGAGAAAAAGCAGTCTCATCCTGAGAGCACTAAATCCTTGTTGACAGGATGACCACCAGTCAGGAAAGCTGAAGTATAAAAACGGGAAGAAAGTTCAACTGAAATTGTTAAATTGTTTCCTGATCTTGAACAGGACAGAAGAAGACCTGTGTGAGAGAAAAATGATAGAATCATAGTATCATAATACTACCAAGATCCAGATATGTCTGCAAACAGAGAGCAATACTTAAGCATGTGCTGAAATGGAAGGGAAGGGAAGGAAGGGAAAGGAAGGGAAGGGAAGGGAAGGGAAGGGAAGGGAAGGGAAGGGAAGGAAGGGAAAACATGATGTACTAACTTGTTCATTACATACTTCTAAGTCTTATTTTAAATGATGGTTGCTAAGAGAACCAATTGCATAGAAGCGCAAGGAGGAATATCCCCATCTTGTTTCACTTGTTTCATTGATCTCTATACTTGTTCATAGAGATCAATTAGGAAGAATGAAGCTATTTCGGTGCTTCAGCATGAATTTTGACATTAACCTTTTCCCCAATCAGGCTGGTCAAGCCCCTCTAGCCCTATTGGATGTTGAAAATGCAATCACAAGTTTCAGTGGTAATAAAGATATGAGGACAAAGGTGCACCACAACCAACCCCCCTACAGAAGTCTTAAGGTTCTTACTATTCAGGTAAGAGATTATATTTTCACTAAATCCATAAAGAAAAATCCCCTGCGTCTACAATGATACTTGAATTAACTGCTGTGGATTTAACAGGTTGCCAGACGTAGCATGCTGTAAGCATGCTGAGTACGGATTTGTTCAGTGGTGACTTAGAAAATCAAGATCTTTGGAGGAAGCTGGAAAAAGCCACATGTATTAAATCACAAGTTTCTTTTTAAAATGCTGATGGAATTCAACAGGGAGATTAGTATAGTAACATTTTTTCCCTAGGAATTTATCCACGGGGTAGTTTTATTTTGTTTTGTTTTGTTTTGTTTTTCATTAAGAAAGAAAGAATTAAAAAAGAGCAGTTTGCTAGTATCAAAGGACAAAATGAAATACTTTTAACACCTAACTGAAAGGAAAGAAAATATGTTGGTGAAGGCAATAGAGTTTCTGGAAGACAAAGGTTAGTATGGACAACTGAAGAGAGCAGGCAAGAAGTATATTTCTTTTGCACCATTTAGTGTAGGTAGTTAAATTTAATAGGGAGATGTCTAGAGCAAAGATGCCTTGCAATCTTCTTTGCCTTTGACATCATCCAGTGCATTGTCTGAATCTTTATTCATGTATTTTCCTGTAGTGTTACATGTGCATTTATGCTTGTTATTTTGCATTGAACATGTGAAGAGAGCAAAGGAGTCACACAGGAGTTTCATCTGGAAGCTTGAGTTTTGGTCCTGTTGGTGATTAGGAAACCAGCACGATGATGGGTTCCACCCTTCAGTGGTTGACAGCTATTCACATACTGACTTTTCAACATGTATCATGTCTAATTACAGGTAAAAATAGTTCAACTTCAAATATATTTAATCAAACAGCTTAATTTTTCCTCAGTTCACATAACTGTAAAAGTAAAAAATAATAAGTCTCCATCTTCTATTTCCTTTTAACTTGGATGACATCAGAGACTTAAAATACACAAGTATGACCCTGGTACAGTCTGGTTTGTGTTAAGGTTGAGACCTTAAGGTCTGAGACCTCTGTGTAGGCTGGAAGACAAGATCTGGCAGAAGGAGACTTATAACCCTCAAAACAGGTGAATGGATACCAGGTGGGATGTTCCAGGGTAATTCAGTACTAGACAACCAGGTGTAGCCAAATAAATTATGCCCAAGATTTTCAGTTTAGTTTCATAGATTTATCTGCTTACGCTTAGTTCTCAACAAGTAGGCGTTGGCATGCAAGCTCAGCATCTAGGACACAATTTATTGTCCATGTAATGGAATCTATTGGTATTTTAGACAGTGCAGAGTTCTATTCTTGCTTTTTGATGCACCAAAAAATCCCAGACTCAACATGTACCCTGAGTCACATCTACCAGTCCTGTATCTAGGGTACATCAGGGCATCAGGTAAGGGCGTTAAAAACTCTATCACAACCAATGAACAGATTCACTGTCTACTGTAGGATGGATGGAAGGGAGTATTGACTAGATGTCCACAGACTATGGTAAGAATGTAGTCAATTAAATAACTGACTGGAAGTCAGGTCAGCTGCAGATCTCAGTTTATTCAAAGATGGAAGCTTCACTTTTGGTTCTGTTGATGATTAGGAAGGCTGGGTGTCTGTTTTTAAGTGCCCAGTTCTGGATCTTAATCTAACTCCCTTTGTCTCTCCCTTTGTCTCTCCTCTAGCTACTGCTTCACATGAGTGAAGATCTGTTGCAGGTCACATCTGCCAGCACTGTAGCACCATGTGAATGTGTTAGACATGTTATGACACTTCAATTTATAGAAAGTACCATAGTCTGGGCAAATGAATCCCACTTTTGTATTTCTTTTAGATAGATCCTGCATCCTGTATGAGACTTTTTACAGTCTTCTCCTTTATTTTTCATTTTCACCTTTTTTCCATGACTTCTCAATAGCCATCACTTAATGGCCATGAACTTACTTAATTCATGTTCAATGTACTGAAACTCCATGAGCCTCAGATGATATGAACATTATTCATCTAAGTTCTTTGCCACATTATCTGATGTACTTGTCTGTCATTGTCTGATGTACTGCCATGTAAAATGGGCAAACAAAACAACTGTTATTTTATCTCTACACAGATCAATTTATTAGCTATCCTCCTAATAGTTCAGTCATTGGAGTCATCGGAGAAGGAGTGGTTCTGCCTTGCTATGTGGTAGCAGAGAACTTTCCTGAGATATTCTCTGTCCAGTGGATATTTAATGAACAGTCTCAAAAAAATACCTGTGAGCACATATGATGGAAAAACTCAAAAGGAAAAGCAAGATGAGAGATATCAAGGCAGAACAGAATTCTTCCATAGTGAATTTGGGGCAGGAAACATGTCTCTGCTCTTGAAGAACATCAGGAGTTCTGACAAGGGATCGTATACTTGCGTGGTCTCTTTCAACGATGAGTACCATGATGTGTTAATTGAACTGAAAGTAGCAGGTCAGTGGCAATTCTCTCTCTCAATTTATTCAAAGATGAAGCACTGATCAGAGACATATATATACATCACTGACTGAGGAAAATATAATTTTAATATAATTTGATGGATAAACTCTCCTCATGTAAGAATGTGTTTTATTTAATTCTCTCAATTAATGCCTACATCAGATTATTTGAGGTAAGATTTAGTTCCAGCTTGAGATACCTGCATTCAGGTAGCCAAATACTTGCATCTGTATGTGACTTGGGAGTACAACCTCCCTTCAAACTCAGTGGAACCTAGAGTTCAGGGAACCCTGCAGTTATCCAGATACAATTAGGTGTCTACCATGCAGTTGATCATTTCTGATCTTATTGCCCATGCTCTCTCTATGGTCAGTATAATCAATTGGTTCCATCCCAATATCTCATTGCTTCCCTTGCTGTTTGTACACAGCAGGAAAACAAATTAGTGGGTAAGTCTTCACTGCTCATATTTCCATTTCAGTACATTAATAGACACCATCTTCACTGGTAGCTTTTGTTAATGTGGTTTGCTTCGAATTGGACACATTTCTTCCTGTTACACAGGAGCCAATTTCTGCTAAATAGCTGTAGTGACACTTCACATTGCAGCCAAATTTTTCAGATGTCTTCTTAGCTAATTCAAGATGAAACAAAAGTTTAACATCTAAGTAACGCTACACGTTAGTCATCTGAGTTCATGATTACAAATTTTATGACCTATTTATTTATTTATTTATTTTTCTCTCCAGACTTCATTATGCTATGTCAGTAGAAATTATTTGAAATAACTAGCCTAATCCTCTAATACATTCCACTGGTGACATCAATAGCAGTCCCTAGCTAGCCCTGTCTACCATAATCTCCATTAAGTCAGTCCTTATTCTTAATCTGAAAGTTACTGAATTGTTAACCATGAAGCAAGTAACTTCAGGGCCCAAGTTTCTGTCAAAGTCAAATTCAGAAAAGTCCTTCCATGTGCTTCCATACAAATATATATTTATATACACCCATATGTAAGTGTTGAATATGAGTGATGTCCTTATAAAACAGACAATTTCCCATTCTCATTAGTGTTTGAAATAGAGAATACTTTATGTTTTTTCCTTAGCTAAAGGTAGTGTGCCTTCCATTTCCCTGAGAAGTTACATGAAACAGAGCATTGGCCTCACCTGTCATGCAGATGGATGGTTTCCTAAACCTGAGGTGATTTGGCTGGATGGCCAAGGACAGGTGCGGAAGGAACAATCAACCACAAAGATGATGATGATGCCTTCAGGCCTTTACAGAGTCATAACTTCCATGAACCTAAAGCCCGGATCTGACATGGAAGTCTCCTGCAGGATAGTCAATAATCTGCTAAAGACAACAAGAGAGTCCAGAATTCAGATTTCAGGTGAGTGACCACAATAGTCACCTGTTTGTAAGATTAAAAAGATAGAAAAACTGATATAGGTCCTGTTTTTATGTTGTGAGCTAGCCTGAAAAAGTAGTCCCAGAACGAGTACTGGAAAAAGTTCATGAGAGATGCAGTCTTCCTACAACTTTATTTCTAGTTTACTACACAACTATCAATCGTACCCAATAAATCACTTTCTTCGTCAAAGAAGGGCCCAGATACTTTCTATGTTCCCTTCTTCAGATTTAGGGCAGAGTTTTAGGCAGATTAGGGCTCCAACTATTGGAGCTGAATTAAAATTAATTAAAAATCCATCTGTATGCATATTTGAAAAGGACATATTTCCTTAGCTATGGCTGAATGCTCCACAGGATTTCATTATCCAGAAGTATGTTACCTGGCAATTTAACAAGGTGTGCACATGTAGGTTTCATAGCCCATAGCTGGAAAATAAAATAAAATAAAATAAAATAAAATAAAATAAAATAAAATAAATAATAAAAATATATAGTCAGAAGAATTAATATGATAGTTTCAATACCTCATAAATATTTTTATTCTATGTGTTTATATTTGCTGTTTTAAACATGTACATTACTGTATAATCATTATAGGGTGGATATAATGTCATGCTTTCCTGCACTCTGTAGCACTTAATACATCTCTTTTTCCTGGGAATATAGACAGGCATCAGGTAGTGTCAAGATAGGGTTTGACCCCCAAAAGAACTTCACCAACCCAAAAGCCAATGTGTAGGCTGGAAAGGGAACTAGAGAGAAGCGTAGTGCTCTTGAAGAATCGAGTAAACTCCCTTATACGATGGCATTAAGAAATAATATAACACTGAATGTGGAGATACCTGTAATGAGACAATAGGAATCAACATAATAGAGAACTGTCTTAAATGTTATTCTTCCTGACTTATGCATCTTAGTTTGCAGGATGTGTCAGACATTAATTTCTCAAATATATTCAGAGTGAGTGTGTCTCTATTGCCCAGGGGTGACGGTTTCTTTCTTCGTTCCATCACCTGCTTTATACTCAGTTTATTATGAAGTGCAACACACCCATGGAAAAATAAAAATAAAAATAGAAAATGAGAGACAGTACAGCTGTTTTTTTTGTCTTTCTTGTTTTTCATAAACTGTGCAAACCTGTCTACCTATCTCAGACATCTCCTTCATACTTTCAAATCTGGTACCCACAGAAAGAATATCCCCAATTTACTTCTGAGGGAGAGTTTGAATTTGAATTTGATTCTTCCTGAATGTTGTCTTTAGCAACATTACCAGGAAAATTCAAGCAAAATACAAATTCATCATCTCTTCAGATGTATTGGCTACAACTTGAGTTACAATTATCTTTATGTTTTACTCACTAATACAATACAACTCGTTTTGGTCATTTTTACAGAGATTTTCTTTCCCTCCATTTCAAAATGGCTGATTGTCCACCTGGTAATTTTATGTTTTATCACAGTCCTAATCTCCACTGTATTTTGTAAGCTGAGAAGTAAGTATTTCTTCCTATGTTTTATCAGTCAAAGTATAGAAATATCACAACAGTTCATATTGAAATCTATGATTGTAACAAAAGCACACAATCAAAATCACCAGTAATTATTTAATGACTGTATTCGGGAAATGGAACAAAAAAGGTGTGGGAAAGCACATGGGCTTAACAAGGAGGAACACAAATTGAACGTCCTTAAGTCAGAGAGTTTCAGGTCTGACAAGTAGGCCCCTTTCTGTAATTGGAGACAATAATCCAGAGAGTAACCGATGACATGAAACACAAAACAGGGAACGGTTTACCCTCAGTATTACTCTACAGAAATAGTGGAATTTTGTTTTTTTTTGTTTGTTTTGTTAACCAGGTAACCACAAGAAAACAATTAAATCAGGTAAGAAATAAAGATGACGATTATGACAATTATGATACTTTGTAGAGTGTACGTATTATTAGAATTTAACTAGAATAAAATATTAAGGGGCTAATTAGAAATCCTAGTTATAGACAAGTGTTTTATAGCTTTCCAACTTACTTTTGTACCACACTACAATAATACCCTGCACGAGCTTTTTCATCTGTGCTTTGTAAACAGTCTGCTTCAAAGGAGCTGACTGGCATTCCCTGCCATCTCAATCATATCTAAGATCCCTGTTTAATCATCCAAGAGTTAATTAAGGTATCATAACCATTCCTCCACATCTTTAAAAGATAAAAATATAATAATAACAAAACCCAAAACTAACAGCAATTCAAGGATCCAAACCAAGGCCTTCCAGAAGACTTTACATGCAAGAAGCAAGTTTTCTTTGACTATGTCTAGTTGGTGTTCATGAGCTATATCTGTACTTAAAAATATACTTGAGTATCCACAGTCAAACTACCTGTTAGCAATAGCCCCAGGCTCATGCTGTCACACAGAAAAAAACTGCTTATTGTTTGGCAGAGAACTAATAGACTCATGCCATAAACATACCAGGCTCTATTCTAACAAATGGATTGAATGAACAATTGTATCCTGAGGTACTTGTGGTCCCTGACTGCTCCCTGACATAATTGGCAATTGAGGCTAGAGATATCCATTGATCCATTGATCAGTAAATATCCATTGATCAGAAAATATGTATTCCCAGTCTATGAACCTTAGTAAAAAAAAAAAAAAAAATTAATTTAATTTAATTTATTAGGTTAAAATTTAATTTATTAGGTTAAATTAAATTCAAGTTTGAACCTCAGTTACTTCTGTTCACACATGAATTTCACTGTTGTAAGGTAAGTGAAGCTTACATGAATAACTACCATTATGATCCAATTTATTTTGTTTTTCAGTAAAAATGAAGACGAAGATGGAAGAAGGTAAAACCTCTTTGCTTTTGAAATTATGTTAGGCTGTTCAGAAGTCTGAAAAACATAAATTCAGGAAAAAAATATTCAAATGCACGTTGATTTTCAAAACAGTAATTGTGGAGTAGCAGCCCTTTTCAATGTTATATCCAATTTCACTGTTTCAATGGATATCCACTGGGAGCACGGATTCACCTATAAGAGACCAGAGCCCTTTTAGAGTGACAGCTACATGTCACTTGGGATACCCCAGGGCATCTCAAATGTTCTAGGTGTCTATGCATCTGAATACCCCTCTTAAATTGGTCAATTAAGGCATAATCTAAACAGGTTTTGAAAGAAGATATCTACCAGCAGCACAAATATGTCTTGTTTCTACCCTGTTTAAAAAAATGAGTTATCTAAATAAAATAAGGTTAAAATTTAGTGATACATTCATGGGTTATATTGTTGGCCTTACACCTACTTAAAGCAGTTAACAGTGCAATGAAAGCAGCCAAGCTTCAAGGATACATATACTATATGGTTTTACAGTTTGTGTATTTACATTTTTGAGCTCATTCAGCAACTCTATCACAGAGATTACACTGATATCTGTGTACTGTTTTTTCTAGAAAATGAACAACTGAAGTCAATGTTAGGTAAGGTGTTTTTGTTGTTGCTGTTGTTCATTGCATATAAAATCTATGTATTGAAGACATGCCTGTTTATGGGGATTTCTGTTTCTTTTTTTGTTGGTTGATTTTGGTCTGATTATTGGTCTTGATAGTACTCTTTAATGTGCTTACGCATTTAAGATTAGACACAAAACTCAACTAAAAGAATTATTTTCATGTGAAAATCTCCAGGCACAATCTGACACATTTACTTTACTTTTTATTTATTTATTTATTTTTAAAATAAGATAAATGTTGTGTGCTAACCTGTAAAATATTTGAAAAGAAAGTGTGTTTTTCACAGAAGTGATACATGTTTAAAGTGAAGATTTATGGAAAGTCCATATATAAAGTACAAAAGTTCTCTTAGTAACTTTTAACTTCCAGCTCACATCCAATAACTACTCCATTTCTGTTTTTCTTTCATTTTATGTGCTGAACTGTTTAGAACAAGAGAAATCCACAATCGTAGAGGTAAATCTAATTTTCTTAAAAAAAATCATTGAGAATGGATGCAGTCGAGCCACAATGAAATAAGCTGCTTTATATAGTTAGTTTGGTTTTAGTCTGAATAGCTTCTCAGAAATGCTTTCAGAGGTGCTTAAATAGGAAAAGTATGGATGATATTTACCTCTGCCTCTATGTGCAGGAACTGTTGTACCAGTGCCATTGCCCTGCTCATGGTCCACTTACCTCCCTCTAAGGTTATTTCTCTTCCCTATGGTTTCACCTGAAAACAACTACAAATTTCTGTTCAGCTTTCTTATTCTATCCTTCCCCTCTTATCATGTTAGAAGGAAAACAAAACAAACCAACCAACCAACCAAACAAACAAACAAACAAAAAACTAATTACTTGTATGACTTTTTATCAGGGAATGTAGTGACAGGACAAGAATAATTAATGGTTTTAAACTAAAAGAGGGTGGGTTTAGATTAGATGTTAGGAAGAAATTATTTCCTGTGAGGGTGGTTAGGCACTGGAAGAGGTTGCCCAGAGAAGTTGTGGGTTCCCCATCCCTGGAAGTGTTTAAGACTGGGTTGGATGCAGCTTTGAGTAACCTGTTCTACTGGGAGGTGTCTCTGTTCATGGTAGGGGGGTTGTAGTTAGATGATCTTTCAGATCTTTTCTAACTAAAGCCTTTCAGTGGTTCTATGATTCTAAGTTTAATGACAGAAGTCTCCCATGTAATTATATGCACTGTTCCCAGAATGAACAGCTGGGGATATAATTCTACTATCTTTCTTACAAACATTTGCTGTTGTTTCCTTGATTTTTTACATCAGTCATTTATGCTCTTCTCTTTTAGCAAAATCAAAACTCAAAGACCACTTTGGTAAGAAAAACATCTTATATAAATGTCATGTTCCTGTCAAGCTTAGAAACAATAATCCAGGTCTTCAGTTGAGTGTGTCTATGCCATTCTGAATGTGAAGCTGAAAAAATAAGGTGAAACATCCACGTATGAGATTCTGTCCCTTCCATTAAAAAATATCCCCCCATGGGTTCTTCTGCTGCTGCTTTACACTGTGACTAGACTAGGCCTCACTTTTTTGCTCACAAGATTTTGTTGCCTGACTTCACAACAAAGCTATAACTAACACAGATAACTAATGGGTTTTATCCTAGAGAAAATGCACCACATTTCCTCCCAGTCATCTAAAACAGCCCTCTACTTGAATGTGCTCTAGAAACCTTATAAAGCACAAGCAGCTGGAGTCATCTTCACTGCTGTGGGGCTAATCCTTTTTCTAGAGAGCAAGAGAGATCAGTTCCAATGTCTTCTGGTGAAGCAGCAAACAACCTAAACAAATCATTCTTTGTGAAAGTTTCCCACAACCAGGCTTTTAGGCAGGAGGCAGAGTGTTCTGATACGCTTTTGACCTTCTCCATTTGGAAGAATATGTTACAGGAATGTAAGAAAATCCTGGGCCTGTAGTTGTAGGGAGCTGTATTTAGGTTCAGTTGGGTCCAGGATGTCCACAAAACAAACTGACAGCTCATAACAAAGTAGAGGAACCCTTCTAGGGAAAAGCCAGACATTTTTTTTTCCTTCTAAAAAAGTCAGACAATGTTATTATAAGACCCATTAGGACACACAGGTACATCCAGGGTCAAACACATAGTAGAGAAATGGACTTTCCTGAGAGCACACTGAAACACAAAGATAAAATCAGAATTTCCCTGAAATGATCCCATCTAGGCTGTCCCTCAGCTGGTTTCCAGCTTCTCTGCTAAAGGACATGCCACGCTTTATCCCAGGTCTAGTGTGTAAATGTAGAGCTGATGGAATCTGGAGGATAAACTCCGTGTTCTTCACCTTGGACCACTGACGCTGGTATTGAAATAACATGAATAAAAATGTTTCTCACCAGATTTCAGAATTCTTTCCTTTTCTGTATTTTAGTGTTGTCCTATTTAGTATAACTTTTGTGAAAAGAAAAAAAAAAAAATGTAGTGACAGGAATATTTTTCCCTTCCAGGTCAACTGAAAGCTGAGCTGGGTAAGTCATTAAAAACTGCTGAGAAGCAGAAGAATTTGTGAGTGAAGAGAAGAAAAGGCAAAACTGATGGAGAATCAGAGATGAATTGTACACGAGTAGTCTTTGCATTATTTTAGCTTGAGAAGTATTGTGGTGGCTTCACTCAGCTGCGCAGACGAACATACAACTGCTCTCCACCACAACTGCTCTCTCACTAGCCCTCACCAAAGTGAAAGGGAGAGAAAATACAATGAAAAGGCTCAAGATTTGATTGCCCAACAGTTATTGCCACAGGCAAAACAGACACAGCATAGGGGGATTAATGAAATTTAATACCTATTACTAAGAGGCTAGAGCAGTGAGAAACAAAAACCTAAGAACACCTTCCCCCCATTCCATCCCCTTCTACCTCTTCCCTGAACAGTGCAGAAGAGTGAAGAATGAGGGTTACAGTAGTCCATGACATTTTGTATCCCCCACTCCTTCATGGTCTCTTTCTCTCTCCTGCTCCAATGTGGGGTCCCTCCCACAGGATGCCATCCGTCCCAAACTGATCCTACATGGCCTTCCCACAGGCAGCAGCTCTTCAAGATCTGCTCCAACATGGGTCCCCCATGGGCAGAAGCTTCCCCCCCAAGCCCCCAGCTCCTGTGTGGGCTCTTTTCCACAGGCTGCAGCTCTGGCCCAGGGCCTGCTCTTTTGGGGGTTTTCTGTGGGCCACAGCCTCCTCCAGGACACTGCCACCTGCTCCACCGGGGGCTCCTCCACGGGCTGCAGCGTGGAGATCTGCTCCATGTGGGACCCAAGGGTGCAGGGGGACAGCCTGCTCCACCAGGGGACTCTCCACAGGCCACAGGGTAACTTGTGTTGCATGCCTGGAGCACCTCCTGCCCTCCTGCTGCACTGATCTTGGTGTCTCAGTCTCACAGAGTAATATGCTCTCACAGAGGTGCTAAAAACATTACTTATTGGCTTGGCACTGGCCATTTGGAGCTCCCTGAAACCATCTCTTATATAACATGGGGCAGCTTCTGGACTCTTCTCATAGAAGCCATCCCTGCAGTCCCACACTACCAAACCTTTCTATGTAAACCCAATACAAGTATCTAACTGCCTAATAGGATGTTAAAACCCTACTGTCTCTTACCTTTCTGCAGATTTCTGGGAAGCCCGGAGCCATGCAGGTAATTCAACAGGAAAAAAAGGTGTGAAAAGTGTTTTTCCATCTGTCCAAGTTACCCTGAAATGACAATGCCATGACTTTAGAAACTGGTAGGCTGAGCTGGAGTCACAGGGACATGCCGTCACCCTGGGTTGGTTAAAAGGAAATGATAGTGGGATGGGCAATTTGGAAGACTGAGAAAAGCAGTTGCTAAGAAGTGTCAAAGGGTAGGGTATAGGCACCATTCCAGAGAGGATGGATGGTAACATGGAAAAGAGAGAGAAATTTATTGTGAAGAGAGAGAAAGGGTCACCTGGACTTACACCCCGAGAGAGTACATGGCTATGAGAGCTTGAAAGGTGCCTGTTGGTTCCTCAGTGACTGTTGCATGCCCTGTTTGGGGGAATGTTTAAATTCTTTGTTGAATCACACCAGGACTGCTCAGACCCTCAAAGATTTCAGCCCATAGTCCCCTACAGAGACAGGTCCCTGAGTGGCTCTGCTCACTGGATTCTTCTTGTTTTCTCCTCCAGTGTTCATTGATGTGAATCCTGACTGCCGAGTCCTAGAGCTCCCAGTGCCGGGGACTCCAAAAGTTGAGGACACCTCATCTGAGCCTGAAAGCCTGAGAAGTCCCTCCACGGTTCCTGTTCTGGTGGGGAAGGAAGGGTTTGCAGCTGGGAAACACTACTGGGAGGTGGAGGTGGACCAGCAGCAGGACTGGGTGCTGGGGGTGGTGAGGGAGAAAGAGAAGCAAGAGGAGGAAGGGACAAATGTTGGTGAGGACTTCTGGGCTCTGCACAGATCCCAGGGAGAGTTATTCTCTAGCAAGGAAAGCAGCAAAATTGAGAAGAAGAATATGAGTTGCTCAGTGATTGGCGTGCTTCTGGACTTGGAGGAAGCACAAGTCAAATTTTATGAAGCAGGGCAGAAAAATATCATAGTGAAAATCCCTCTAAGCCTTGGAAAGGAACATGCAGAAATATTTTACCCATTTTTACCTAAAGGAGAAGAAGGGGTAGTCACACCTGTTATCTGCCCAGTCTTTATCCCTGTCCCTTTGGAGACACTGTAGAAGGATAATTTGAATCAAATAGCTTGTAGAGGTAAGGTTCTCTTCAATGTGTCAGAGTGGACTAGAGGAGAGACAACAATGTCTTAAGACATTAGTTATTATCAAATCCAGAGAGCAGTACTGTGGAACAAAACAGAAAAACCTGGAAAGAAAAAAAAAAAAAAAATTAAATACTGAGGCAAAGATGCTGTGTCTAAAAGTAGAGAAAAAGAAGGTGAAGTTTGAAGCAAAATATCTTTTAATATTATTTGTTCTCAACTAAGAGAACATGAGAAGCCTGTAATGACTACATTTTGGTGGAGCATATGTCAAGGATGTATTTGAATTCCAAGGCATGCATAAAGAATCACAGAAAAATGCATGATGGTAAATACAGGACAAAAAAACAAAATCCTTAATTTTTATTTTTTTTTTTCTGAATGTTGTAAGAAGAGTGAGTATGAAGAAAATCAAAGTTTGAATTATAAAAGAACATCAGAAATGTTGGATTATTCAGTTAATCCATTTAAATGAGTATGATTATTAGAGGATTATTGCCTGCTGCTGTTGTAGAGGTCCTGTTATTTTCTCTGTCATTTCTTGATCTGTGACATTGTTGGGTGATGTTTTTTGTTTGTTTGCTTGTTGTTTGTTTGTTTTTTCCATAACAACATGTTTTTACTACTTATCCATGCAATCTTGAGCACTTGTGATAACTGAATGGAGATAACAATGCCCTGGCCAGTAGCTGCCTCACCAAAGAGGGATTATCCACTATTACTAGTGCAGTTGAAAAAGGAGTTAGGGTTCCCCCATTTAAGCTCTTAGATTTATGCATTTCTCTTTTACATGCAAATACTGTTTGACAGTTTCTCCAAGCTCCTGAAAGTGCAATATAACTGGGCATCAGTCAGCTGGTAATGAAAAATTGCACGTTACAGCACTACATTTTCTTGTATTGTTTTGTTTGTTTGTTTGATTGTTTATCTTAGCCCATGTATTTTCTAACTTCTGCCTTTCAAATTCCTAAATACTGCTTATAGAGAGTGAGCTGTTTGATGCTGAGCTAGTTTACCACAACATGCATGCAACTTGTTTTAAAAGAAACCACAATGCTTTATTGGAGCTTCACGTTTGACACATAATGTCCAGCTGTTTTAGAGATGTGATAAGACAAAAGGGTGAAATTAATGATCTGTAGAAGACATCTACCAAGAGAATGGACAAAAAGCATGGGATTAAATGCCTGAAGGTCTCATGGAACATGGAAATATTGCGCTAAATCTTAAGAATATATTATATGTAAATATATTACAATATATGTAATTTAATAATAATAATAAGAAGAAGTAAATATATTATAATATATATAAATAATAAATAATAAACATTATATCTCTTGTTCATATATTATATCACTTGTTTTTTTATTTGATTTCATCTGTTTACACCTTTTTGGTTTCATTTTGACGGGATGAGGGGTGTCACATTAAAAAGACACTTATCAGAGTCCAGTATTTGCCTGTTTCAGAGCCCTGCTAGGAGCTTTCAGTGAGACAGTCTCAGAAAGATGAAAGTATTCGCAGTCCAACATTTGCCAAGGACTTTCACTGAGGCCATTACACAAAGTTGAAACCTCTTCTAGGTTTCCATTGAATCCATGTCACTCCAAGTTAGAGACAAGGGTATAATGAAGAACAGTGTAAGATGCTTTGCAGTTGCTCTTCCTCTATCCACCAGTGCTGTAACCCCATGGTAGAAGGCAGATTTGTCAGGCACAATCTGCCCTTAGTGGAGCCACATGGGCTGTCACCAATCACCTCCTTATTTCCCATGTGCCTCAGCATAGTTTCCAGGATTATCTGCTTCATCATCTTGCCAGGCACAGAGGTGAGACTGAAGGGCCTGAAGTTCCCCAGGTCTTCCTTTTTTACCTTTTCTAAAATATTTCCACTCTTCCAGTCAATGGGAACTTCACTGCACTGCCACAACATCTCAAACAGTTCCCTGCCAGTTCCCTGAGGACCCGTAGATTCATCTCATCAGGTCCCATGGACTTGTGCAGGTTCAGGTTCTTTAGATGATCTCAAACCTGATCTTCTCCTACACTAGGCAGTTCTTTTTTCAAACAATCCCTGCCTTCGCCTTTTGGGGCTCAGGACACATGTCTTGAACTCTTGTCAGGAGGACTGAGGCAAAATAGCAATTAAGTACCTCAGCCCTCTGCATATCCAAGATGACCAGGTCTCCCATTTCCTTCCAGACAGGGCCCACGAATTCCCTGGTCTTCCTTTTGTCACTGATGTACCTATAGAAACCTTCTTGTAGCAGTTGAAGTCCCTGAACAAATTTAATTCTATGAATGCTTTGGCTTTCCTAACCTGATCCCTGACTGCTTGGACAATGTTGCTGTATCCCTCCCAGGTTATTCATCCTTGCTCCTACTTGTGCACCCATGCAGGCCTCCTGGTGTTTTTTCCTGACTTTCTCTTTGCTGGGATGCATTGCTCCTGACCTTGGGAGAAGTGATCCTTGAACATTAAGCAACTTTCCTGGGTCCCTCTTCCCTCCAGGGGTTTGTCCCATGGCACTCTACCAGCCAGACCCCTGACGAGGGCAAAGTCTGCTCTCCCAATATCCAGGGTAGCAAGCTTTTTGTGCTCCCTCCTCACTGTCCTCTGGATCCTAAGCTGCACCATTTCATGGTCACTGCAGCCAAGGCTGCTCTTGAGCTTCACACACCCCACCAACCCCTCCTTGTTGGTGAGAATGAGATCCAGCACAGCACATCTCTTCATTGGCTCCTCTATCACTGGGAAAAGGAAGTTAAGCTTTCTGTAAGCTCCTTATCTGTCCCCAGGCAGAGCTCCATGCACTCCAGATGCTCCTTGACACAGAGGGCATTGCCATCTCCCCTGTCTGTCTTCCTAAAGTGCCTGTATCCTTTGATTCCATCACTCCAGTCTTGGAAGCCACCCGCTATGTCTTCATAGTATCAATGAGGTCATAGCCCTGCATCTGTAATTCTGTTTGTTCCTTGTGCTAGGTGAGCTAGCACAGAGACATTTAAATTGGGTCTGTGATGAAGCTGCCTTACTGACTGGAGTAGCTGGAATGGCTGGAATTCCTTTGCGCTGCTTTTCAGGTGCCCTCCTGCTGATCCGTGACCCTTCTCCAGACTCTGGACATCCATTTCTAACACTGTCTTCAAGTTGGGAGGAGTATGATCGACAGAGGTTCTCCTCCCCTGGAAACTCTAGTTTAAAACCCTCTTCACCAGATTGGTGAGCCTGTCACCAGAAATGTTCTTCCCCTTATCTGACAAGTGGACTCCATCAGTCCCCATCAGACCAGGTTCCTCAAAGCAAGTCCTACTGTCTAAGTAGCTCCGTCTGTAGCACCAGTCCTGCACACCTCTGTTGATTTGTTGGATTTGACTGTCCCTTTCAAAACCCTTCCCCTTGAGCTGGAGGACTGATGAAAATGCTACCTGTGCTACTGAGTCTTTTCTGCTGCTCCCAGGGCTCTCTAAACTCTCTTGACAGTCCCCAGACAGCTCCAGCTGCTCTGGTGCCCACATGGAAGAGCAGCAGCAGGTAATAGTCCTTAGGATTATGAGTCTTGTCTGTTTCTTGGTGGTGTGAGCCCCTGGTAAGCAGCAGACTTACTCAAGAGCAGATTGGGTCAGCAAATCAGGCTGCCTTACCCAGTTCCACACCCCTGCAATGGGTCTTTTGTTCCTTTTCCATCTGCAGGGGATAAAATGATTCTGCAAGAACACCTCAGGCTTTAGGGGAAGACACTTCCTCCTGCTGGTCCTTGTCATTGCTAGCTTCCACTTCCCTGCATTATTAGCACAAATAATTAATTATGTAACTCTGCAGAGTCAGGTGTTTGGCAATCTTTCACAAAGCAAGGACACCTCTGGCTTGAATCACCATTATTTACACAGCAAACTTGTGAGACTATCTCTTTTGCTAGTTTTAATTGGCTATTTCATCTCGCCTAACTTACCTCTTTTGAGTTTGCACATTACAGAGGACAAAGAGTGTGTGTGTGTGTGTGTGTGGAGAGGAACCAAATCCCACATTAACATACATTAGTATTTTGATGGGTGTGGTTTTTAATATGTTAATGACCTTTACTGAGCTAAAGGTTTCCACAGGTCAATCTGGAATCTTCCTGCAGCTATTTTTTTGTTTTGTTTTTGTTTTTTAACCTTTCATCCTTTATCTCCCTTGCTTCTGCTATCTCAAGGCTACCCATCTCCCTGTTTTCTTTAAGGTTTCCTTATTTTCCCCAGGTTAAGACTACAATTGGTCCTACTAATGCAGCCCAGAACACCATTACCCTTCTATGCAGCAAGGGCACATTGCTGTCTGTTGGCCATCTTGCTGTCCACCTCCAGGTCCTTTTTTTCTGCCAAGCTGCTTTTCCAGCTGGATGTTCCCAGCATGTCCTTGTGCCTTATATAGTTCTTCCCCAGGGGCAGGACTTTGTGCTCCATTTTTCTGATTCACCTTGGTGAAAATTCAAATTATTGAAAATTACAATAGGTTTGGGTGGTGAGAAAAGAAGACATAATTGAAACAATATCCTTCCTCCACCCCTGCTTTGCCCAGGTTCAGCTTCACTCTATTATTCCCAGTCCCTCTCCCCACCACTTGGCACAGGCATATGGGGAATGAGGAACTGCAATCAGTCCTTAACGGCTGTCTGTTGTTCCTTCCTGCTCACACTTTTCCCCTCCTCCAGTGTGGGTCCTGTCCAATGGCTGTAGTCGTTTAGGATAAACCTGCCCACACTGAGGTCATCCCCCCTATTACTCTGCCATGTAAATCCAGCACAGCCTGGCTGTTCAAACTGTTTCCCCTTCATAGAGTATTCTACCTCACTGTCCGCTAATCTAACATACACTTTGTCAGCTTGTCTACAAGGACATTAATGGGAGGCAGTGTCAAAATCCCACTAAAAAGTAGGTATAAAACATCATCTTTCCCCATCATCCAAGCTGGTCACCTCATCATAGGAGTTTAACAGGGTAGTAAAGCGTGATCCGTGCTTCGGAAATCCATGCTGACTGTTCATAAGCACATTCTTGTCTTCTGTGTGTTTGGAAATGGTTTCCAGGAGTGTTTTCTCCATCAGCTTTCCAGAGACTGCAGTGAGGCTGCTTGGACCATAGTCACCCAGGTCTTCTTCCTATTGCCCTTCTTGAATTTAGGGGTAACATTTGCTCTCTTTCAGACTTCAGGAGCCTCTCCCAGTTGCCATGACCTTTCAAAGATAATGGAGAGTGGTCTCTCAGTGACATCAGCCAGATCCCTCAGAACTTGAGTGTCGTGGTTTAACCCGGCCAGCAGCTAAACACCACGCAGCCGTTCGCTCACCCTCCCCCTCCCTCTCTGGGACGGGGGAGAGGGTGAAGCCCGTGAGTTGAGATAAAGACAGTTTAATAAGACAGGAAAATAATAATAACAAAAATAATAACATAATAATAATAATAATACAATGGTGATAATAGGAAAGTAATAATAATATGTACAAACAAGTGATGCACAATGCAATTGCTCCCCACTCGCTGACCGATGCCCAGCCTAACCCCGAGCAGTCCGGCCCCCTCCCCCCGGCTAGCCACCCCTATATATTGTTTAGCATGACATCAGATGGTATGGAATACCCCTTTGGCTAGTTTGGGTCACCTGTCCTGGGTCTGTCCCCTCCCAGCTCTTACTGCACCCCCAGCCTGCCCGTTGGCAGGGCAGAGCAAAAGGCTGAGATGTCCTTGGCTTAGTATAAGCACTGCTCTGCAACAATTAAAGCATTGGGGTGTTATCAGCACTCTTCTCATCCTAAGCCAAAACACAGCATTCCACCAGCTACTAGGAAGAAAATTAATTCTGTTCTAACTGAAACCAGGACATTGAGGATGCAATCCATCAAGCTCCATGGACTTTTGTATGCCACATTTCTTTTAAGCGCTCCCTAACTTGGTCCTCCTCCACCAAGTGTAACATCTTCTTTTCTCCTTTCTGCCTTCAACCCTTCCTAAAGAAAATTCAACTTTGTTTCTAAGGCAACTAGAAATACTTCCTGCATTGTATTTTTCAGGAAGAAACTGTTGTGAGAAATGATATTAAGAGGAAAACCCTGTGAAAATCCACAAATAGTTAGATTCAAAGACATTACCTTCTCCAAAGGGAAAGTTACACCCTTTTCAAGCTGGTTTCTTTTAAGAGTATCTGCCAAGTCCCAAGGACAACATGCTTCCATTACCATTGTAACTTGACAGTAAAGCATCAGTCTTAGAAAAAACCGTGATCTTCAGAGTTGCACCCTGAGTTAATCTTTAACATTTCATTCTTCATTTCAGGTCCACTGTTCAGAGTTCAGTCTTTTTGATCTGAGACAGAAGATGGAGAGACCTTTCCTACCTTACAACAGGTGAAATACCAATTTTATTCTGAAATAAGGTTCACTTCTGATGCTGGGCAGTGAGCATTCAGCTGGATGCATGATTGTCTTAAACTTCTTTCTAACACCAAAGTTCCTTTTGCATCTGTTTGTTTACAACACAACAATGCAGCCCTCGTATGAAAGAAGAAGTGCGATCTTCTGGCAGAGGAATGTCAGATTTAAACTTCAGTACCTGATTCTTTCTTTCATTTTCCTTTCCTTCTGCAGGGAGATGGTGCATAACCCACTATCATCCTGCATGAGTTAAGGCTTAAGTTCACTTTCTCCGGCAAGAAGGTAAAACAGCTATCCGATATCATTGTTCACCTTCATACATCAAGACAGGTAAGGCGTTTCTCTTTTAACTTTTTCACTTCTGAACAAACCAAGAATGTCAGGCTTCCATAGAGATGGAAGGGAACTGCTCTATTCCCTTCAACAAAGCTGTGCACGCAGGGGCCAACAGTCTCTTCTCTCCACCCATGTCTCCTTAAGTGTTGTCAGGGAGGAAGTGTAGGCATCAGCAGCATGTTTGCTCCTGATAGCTCTTGCAGAGAAAAATGAAAGTGGGAGAAAGGGGGAGAAAGCTGAGGTATTAACTAGCCAGATGGGTTAGGTTTTGCTTCACCAAGGATTTGTCAGTTGTCTTTGGTGTATGGAAATATCATTTATCTTGCAGGATATCTCTGAAGTGGAGGCTGCAGAGCGGGAGAAAAGGTCTATATTCCCTTTCTGAAGGGGACTGTTTGGTTCAGGGAAGCTCCTCCCTCTGTTCCTCCCCCCCCCCCCCCCCCCGCACAGTGTCTCAGGGTAAAATAAATGCTTTGCAGAGATGTTAACAACCTCAAACTTTTCTGATTAGTTTGAATAATTAAGGTTGTCATCTTCTATGCAGTGAATATCAGGCCTTCATGAAAATGTCTTTTTTTCTTACCATTAAACCATCCATATTAAAATTTTACTGCATTCAATGAATTTGTGCATTTGATCCAAGTTGCAGTGCCAAAGTTAATTTAATTTTCTATCCTTCTAGTAGAATAATGATTGTTTATCTTAAAATATGTCACACTATGTCTATTTAGCAATGCACATGAAGCCTATGGGAATTAAGACAAACTGTTGTTTTTTGTTATGTTTCTTCTTGTTTGTTTGTTTTAAAATGGCATATAAGCATTCAGTTGGTTTTGTTCTTTCAAGTTATAAATGTTGATCTGCTAGTCAGTGAGGTTTTTTTTGGTCTCTCCTCATATAACACAATACATGTTTTTTTAAGTCAGAGAAAACAAAAAATAACATTTGTTAGCAAAAATACCTTTGCTAAACGAAGTATCAGGTCTCAGCATTTGCTGGCTGGAACTCCTTTGTCCAGATGCTCCCATAGGTGTCTGATCCTACTTTCTGCTCTCTGATGTATCCAGTCTCATCAGTACAATTCATCTCAGTTGTATTTGGGCTGGATGTATGGGGTTTCACTGAGTTTCAAAAGAACTTGCAATATTCAAATGGCAATGAATACAGCTAGGGAAGAAGCTGCTTTTGTCTAAGCACAAACATCTTGTGACATTTTTGGTATTTCCAAGACATTTGGTATTTATAATCCAGATGGCAACAGCTTGCTACAAGTCCCCCACCCAAATGCCTGTCCTAGTATTCCAGCAAGAATAATACAATCTGAAACACTTTAATCACAACCTTTAATCACCAAATAATAGAATCACAGAATCACACAGAATCACAGAATCACAGAATTGAAGGGGTTGGAAGGGACCTCAAAAGATCATCGGGTCCAACCCCCCTGCCAAGCAGGTTCCCTAGAGCAGGTTGCCCAGGTAGGTGTCCAGACAGGCCTTAAATATCTCCAGAGAAGAGACTCCACAACCTCCCTGGGCAGCCTGTTCCAGTGCTCCGTCACCCTCACTATGAATAAGTTCTTTCGCATGTTGGTGCAGAACTTCATGTGCTCTATCTTGTGACCATTACTCCTTGTCTTGTCCCCAAAAACCACTGAAAAGAGGTTGGCCAAATCCCTCTGTCTCACACACCTCAGGTATTTATACACACTGATGAGATGCCCTCTCAGTCTTCTTTGCTCCAGGCTGAACAGATCCAGGTCTCTCAGCCTTTCCTCATAAGGAAGATGCTCCAGGCCCCATATCATCTTTGTGGCCTTCTGCTGGACTCTTTCCAGGAGTTCCCTGTCTTTTTTGTACCAGGGAGCCAGAACTGTACACAGTACTCCAGGTGAGGCCTGAGCAGGGAAGAGTAGAGGGGGAGGATCACCTCCCTTGACCTGCTGGCCACACTCCTTTTAATGCATACCAGGATCCCATTGGCCCTCTTGACCACCAGGACACACTGCTGGCTCATGGTCAACCTGTCGTCCACAAGGACCCCCAGGTCCTTCTCTGCAGAGCTCCACTCCAGCAGGTCATCTCCCAGGCTATAGCGGTACATGTGGTTGTTCCTTCCAAGGTGCAGGACTCTACACTTGCTCTTGTTAAACCTCATTTGGTTTCTTCCTACCCATCTCTCTAGCGTGTCCAGGTCTTGTTGAATGGCAGCACAGCCTTTTGGCATGTCAGCCACTACTCCCAGCTTTGTGTCATCAGTGTACTTGCCTTGGGTAGACATTTTTCCCTCATCAAGTTCATCAATGATGTTGAACAAGACCGGACCCAGCACCGACCCCTAGGAAACACCGCTAATCACAGGTCTCCAGCTGGACTCTGCACCACCAGTCACCATCCTCTGAGCTCGGCCAGTCAGCCAGTTCTTAACCCACCTTACTGTCCACTCCTCTATCCCACACTTTCTCAGCTTTGCTAGCAGGATGTCATTGGAGCCAGTATAGAAAGCCTTGTTAAAATCAAGGTAGATGGCATCAACTGCTTTCCCCCCATCTACCCAGCAGGTGATGCCATCGTAGAAGGCAACGAGGTTGGTCGAGCATGATTTCCCCTTGGTGAATCCATGCTGACTACTCCTCATAACCTTCTTCTCTTCCAATTGCATGGAGATGGCATCCAGAACAAGCTGCTCCAATACCTTTCCAGGGACAGAGGTGATACTGACTGGCCTGTAGTTTTCTGGATCCTCCTTCCTGCCCTTCTTGAGGACCAGAGTGACATTGGCTATTCTCCAGCCTTCAGACACCTCTCCTGTTCTCCAGGACCTTTCAAAGATGATAGAGAGCAGTTCGGCAATCACCTCTGCCAACTACCTTAGCACACATCGATGCATCCCATTGGGACCCATGGATTTGTGTGCTTTGAGCCCACTCAGACACTCCCAAACCACTCCCTTATCAACAAGGGGGGAGATCTCCACTTCCCAGACTCTTTCTCCTCCCTCAAGGGTCGAGGAGTCCTGGCGGGCAGTCCTTGAAGTAAAGACTGAAACCAATAAAACATTCAGTATCTCCACCTTCTTAGCGTCTCTTGTTACCAGGACACCCCCCTCGTTCAGCAAGGGACCCACATTATCCCTAGTCTTCCTTTTACTGTTTACATACTGAAAAGAACCCTTCTTATTATCTTTTATCTCTTTTGCAAGCCTCATCTCCAGGTGGACTTTAGCCTTCCTTGTCGCGTCCCTGCAGGCCCTGACAACATTTGTATACTCCTCCCAAGAGGACAGGCCCTTTTTCCACATTTCATAGACCTTCCTCTTCCTTTCGATCTTGTCAATGAGCTCCTTGCTCATCCACACAGGTTTCCTTCCCCCCTTCCACGATTTCCTACTCTTAGGGATGCACCAATCCTGAGCTTGGAAGAAGTGTTATTTAAATGTAGCCCAGCTCTGACATGCACTCTTGCCTTCTAGCAACCTAGCCCATGAGATACCCCCAAGCAGGTCCTGGAAGAGGTCGAAATTGGCTCCTTGGAAGTCCAGGGTAGCAGTTCTGCTTTTTGTCTTACTTCTGTTACCAAGTTCCATCTTGAACTCCACCATCTCATGGTCGCTGCATCCCAAGATGCCCCCAACCTTCACATCCCTAACAAGCCCATCCCTGTTGGTAAGAATAAGGTCCAGAAGTACCCTCTCCTCATCGGCACCTCCACCACCTGCATCAGAAAATTGTCTTCAATGCATTGTAGGAACCGTTTGGATTGTCGTGTCTGGCTGAGTTGCTTACTCAGCAGATGTCTGGATGATTGAAGTTCCCCATGAGAACCAGTGCCCATGATTGTGAGGCTACCTCCAGCTGCTTGTAGAAGACCTCATCGACCTTCTCCTCCTGATCAGGTGACCAGTAGTACACCCCCACAACTGTGTCCTCCATACCAGCCTACCCCTAAATTCTCACCCACAAGCTCTGCACTTGTCCTTCACCCTCCTCCAGGTGGAGCGGGGTACACTCTAATTGCTCCCTCACAGAAAGGGCAACACCACCCCCTCGCTTCCTCAGCCTGTCTTTCCTAAAAAGGACATAGCCCTCCATGACAGCATTCCAGCCATGTGAGCTGTCCCTCCACGTCTCTGTGATTGCAATGAGATCTTGGCCCCATGACTGAACACAGATCTTGAGCTCATCCTGTTTATTTCCCACATTGGTATACAGGCATTTTAGGGAAGCAGCAGGCACAGTTACCCCTAGAGGGACACAAGAAGATTCCGGATGGCATCTCAGAATTATTACCTCCTCTGAGGAACCCTCAGATGATCTTATGGGACAACTCAGAGGTTTTTCCATACTATCTTCAACAGTGACACCAGTGACAACATCCCCCAGCCCTTCTCTGTCACTTTTAGCTCCTCTCCCTTCCCCTCCCTTCCCCCATCAAACCTAATTTAAAGCCCCGGTAATTAGCCCAGAGAGCTTGCTCCCCAACACACTTGTGGCCCACTTACTGAGTTGAAGTCAGCAGCCCACACACCTGGCTTCTCAGAGGCCTGCCCATCATCGAAATACCCAAATACTTGGTCTAGACACCACCCGCTCATTCACCTGTCCTGTTCTCCTTCTTTCTGGGTCCTGGTCACCCAGAGGGAGGACAGAGGAGAACACTACCTGCGCCCCTGATCCCTTCAACAACCTTCCCAGGGATGCAAAGTCCTTTTTAATATTCCTCATTTTTCTAGTTGCAGCTTCCCAGGATCCAACATGAATGACAACAGGAGGATAGTAATCCTCCGGTTTAACGAGCTGTGGCAGAGCCTTCCTAACGTCTCTGACACATGCCTCAGGAAGACAGCACACCTCTCTGGATAGGTTATCTGGGTGACAAATAGGAGCCTCAGTGCCCCTCAACAAAGACACCTCCTTTGAGGAGATGAGGAGATGCAATGCTCTCATCTCTAGGCAAGGTTAATCCCTTTCCCATATTAGGTCTCTAAATTAATTTCTTCAATAACATTTTCTTGTTTCTTCTGTGCCTATTATCTGTAAAGAGTCAATTTTGTTTATCTCAAATCCCATGAAAACTCCTGGAGAGTGGCAAGAGCAAGATTCAGCATCGATGAAGTTGATGAACATTTATGGAATTTAGTGCCAGTTGCAGTGTCACATTCAATGGCCTGACCTACCTGTGAAGTTCATGGGAATGTGGACAATACACTTAACAGTGTTATCTCATTCTGTGGTGCAAGCATGATCTTTAGCTTCTTGGATGACCTGGGAACCAAAAGAGCCCATTTCCCTCCATGTACCACAGACTGAAGGGCTACCCACTCTAAGAAAAAAAATACAGAAAAATATTTAAAAAATACAGAAAAATATTGAACTATGGCAAAGTAGTAAAGATACCATACCAAAACTGTTGCTATGGGGACTGAGACAGCGACAGTCAACTATGTACTGGAAATGTCAAACTCTACAAAAAAGCCAGAGACCAGAGAAGGGTATGTTTTCTAGCACAGGGCGCCAAAGTTGACCCTGGTGCAGCCCTAAATTATCTCAGGTTTGTGTCAGTGCTGAATGTGGTTGGCTGTGTCAATTAGTTACATGAAATCTTGTGTGAAGTTGAAAGAGAGGTTCTGATTTCACTCTGAAGTCTGATTGTTTCAGGGAGCCGTGTCTTCATGATAGCAAAGAGGACAGTTTCCCCTTCCTGTAAACCTTTGTACAGAAGCTGCTAAACACCATTTCTTCCCTCGTTCTTTACCCATCTCATAACATGGACAAAGAGACTTGTGAAACTCAGACCAGAGATTTAAAACTGGTGTGTTAATTCATGTGTTCATCAATTTTGCAGAAAACAGTATGGGCTGGGTTGTATTTTTCTGTTTCTTGCATACACTCTCATAACCTTCTGGGAGCATGGTAGGCTGCAAGAAATTCTCAGAAGCTGAAATTTAAATTGAGACATCTGGACAGCAATAGGTTTTCCTGGCATTTAAACTCAACTGCTTGAGTGCATTGGAAGGCGTGTCAGTGCAATTTAAGAAATGTCCTGTGTTTAGGACAGATTTCCCTTCTATTATACTTACCTTCTGTGTCTTTTTCAGGTCAGCTGAATTATCATTCTACATCTGCAACTGTAGAGCAACATGGAGCAGAAGAATTGGCTTTTGTTCACTGTGGCACTGCTAGCAGCCACCCCCGTCTCATCAGGTAACACTTACATAATCTCTTTTAATTCCTGAGGGATTAAAGTCTGCAGGTGATAAGAAATGCACAAGCTGAAGTTCATGGTCTCCTGAGACTTCCTCTTAACTCCAAAAGAGCCAGAGCTGCCCTGTCAGTATGATGTTTTGGAATCTTCCTCTTTCCAGCCTGAGTTTATATTCTTTGTTGGAGATGAGGTAGCCCTAACCCAACCCAGCTCTGCCACATCTGCCCTTGCCAAAGCAGCAAGAGCATTTCCAAGTCTACATGGGCAGTTTCCATTGACACAGCTGCCTCACTGTTGCTGACATAGGTTGGAAAGGGCCATGGCAGGCTAGAAAGTTGGACAAAATGTTTCTTACATTCTTTTAAGCAATTTTGTTGTTGTTGTTATTTTTCCTCCAAATAATCCTTTCTTATTCCACTTTTAAGAGCCTATTTTCTGCATACTTTTAACACTTTGGGCTTCCACTTTTCCAGTGTTCATTTTGCTCCAGAGAAAAGAAAAAAGAAAAAGAAAAAAAAAAAAAAAAAGAGTGAGAGAACAAATGAGTAAATATTACAAAGATAATGAAATGAAATGAAATGAAATGAAATGAAATAAAATAATGAAATAAAATAAAATAAATAAAATAAAATAAAATAAATAAAATAAAAAATAAAATAAATAAATACATTTTATTTAATCTATAAATAAAAGCAAACATGCTAACAGTTTTCCTCGTATCATTAAAAATGCTTTCCAAATGTTATTCCAGTGGACAACAGTCATTTCCCCAAAGGACCACATAGGCTCTTTTTCTTTTTTCTTTTTCTTTTTCTTTTTCTTTTCTTTTTTTTTTCTTTTTTCTTTTTCTTTTTCTTTTTCTTTTTCTTTTTCTTTTTCTTTTTCTTTTCTTTTTCTTATTCTTCTTCTTCTTCTTTTTCTTCTTCTTCTTCTTCTCTTTCTCTTCTTCTTCTTCTTCTTCTTCTCTTCTTTTCTTCTTCTTCTTCTTCTTCTTCTTCTTTCTTCTTCTTTCTTTCTTTTCTTACATTTCTGTTCTGATGTATTGTTTCATGGTCTTTTCAGATTTAACTGAAAAGAGAATAGTCTCTAATGAAGATTCCACTTGCAAGTGCTATCCATTCTCTGGGCAGGCATAAATATCCCAGTTCTCTTTGCCTTTTATACTGGTATCTTTTCTGATGGATTTCAGGCAGGTGTTTACTCAAATTTGGTTCCTACAGAAAATTTCGAGGTCATCTCTCCCCCCAATGTGTTGGGGGTTGTTGGCCTGGACACAGTTCTTCCCTGCAACGTCACTTCCACGAAAAACCATTGTATGACATTGAAGTTCAGTGGAAGAAAATCACAGATGGGCGTATAGAAGATGTCTACATATGGAGGAACACAGTTAACAAACCAGGGCAGAAATACGTGTGGGAGGACTGAATTGCTAAAAGATGGACTTGCCACTGGGAATGTGTCCCTAACACTGAAGAATGTGCTGCCAGCAGATGAAGGAACGTACAGCTGCATTGTGAATTCCAAAGACTGGAGTGCTGACACAACCACCATGCTCAGCATTGCAGGTTGGAGATTTTGTGGGCTGGATTATGAAAGGAAGAGGGTTTTTACAGAAGGAAAAAAGCAATTCAAAAGTACACTGCCCCTAGCTGATCTCCCCTCATATGAATCATCATGTAATATGACCAGTCATATGATCCAGTGGGCCACATGACACCCAAATTGTGATGTGATTTAACTCTTTAATTCAGAGCCACTGAGAGACTGAGAGGTTGGCAAGAGGCTGGGAAGAGTTCAATCCATGTGCCACTCACTGTACAGGAGGCAATTAGGGGCACTAGCAACCTGGGCAGCCCAAGGAGGGTCACTTTTAGTTTTAGACAAGGAAGGAGCTTTAAACTCTCATAGCATAAAGTGCTTCCTTGAGTCTCTTGAGAGACTTCACCGTACATGTTCAAAACTGGTTGCATTACATGGAGAAGTGGAGTATGCGGGGATAGCTTGATAAGACGGCCAAGAGACCAGGGTGAGTTCCTATGCAGGGTTCATCCCTGCTCTCAGCTTTACTGTGACAAGTGTAGGGTTAGCTAGCTGCAGTAATCACTGTTGGGGAGATGTGAGACCACATGATGGGGCACAACAACCCCAAACAGCTCTACGGGCTGGGAGATGAGTGGTTGGACGCTGCCTGACAGAAGGACCTGGGAGTATTGGTGATAGTCAGCTGAATATGAGCCAGCAGTGTGCTCAGGTGGCCAAGAATGCCATCAGCATCCTGGCTTGTATAAGAAGCAGTGTGGCCAGCAGGTCTAGGGAAGTGATTTTCCCCCTGTACTCAGCTCTGGTGAGGACACACCTCAAGAGTCCAGAGAAGGGTAACAAAGCTGGTGAGGGGGTCTGGAGAACAAGTCTTATGAGGAGTGGCTGAGGGAGCTGGGATTGTTCGCTGGAGAAAAGGAGGCTCAGGGGCGACCTTATCGCTCTCTATAGCCACATTAAAGGAGGCTGTAGTGAGGAGGGGCTTGGTCTATTCTCCGACCTGGTGACAGGACGAGGGAGAATGGGCTGAAGTTGTTCCAGGGGAGGATAAGGCTGGATGTTACGAGAAACTTCTTTACTGAAAGGGTAGTTACATGGCATTGGAATGGGCTGCCAGGGAAGTGGTGGAGTCACCATCCCTGGAGGTCTTTAAAAGACATTTAGATGTAGAGCTTAGTGATATGGTTTAGTGAAGGACTTCTTAGTGTTAGTCAGAGGTTGGACTAGGTGATCTTGAAGGCCTCTTCCAACCTAGACGATTCTGTGATTCTGTGATTCTGTATAATGGACACGTAAGTGCCCACCTATTGTGCTGGTGTGAAAGGTTGCCCTGTCTTCATGGACAGGAGGCATAATCTGTGTGTGGGAGAGTAATGTCATGTGAAGCCAGTCAGCCTAGACTTGCTGATTGAAAACATCATCTCCTCATCCAAAAGTGGCTAGATAAGCTTTAAGGATAGGCAAGAGAAAGAGGTCCCAGCTGGTGTCCATTTGCTGTCAACCAGGAAATATCCCTACAAAGTCCAGCTTGGACTCAGGGGTCTGACTAAGATATGCATGTGGTGCATCCCACACCCTCACACTAGAGCAGTTTTGGTGCAGTCCCTATACAGCAATCATCAATACCCACTCCTTCATGCTAGCATGAACTGGGCAGATGCCAGGGAAAAAGCTGTGCATGCTTTACAGTTTTATGTTTTCTTCTTTCCACTTCCTCAAAACTGGACCAGTGTCATACAGATTCTGTAACAGCAGTAACAGAGTCTTTTTGTAAGCAAAAGGTATAAAGACACACATCTTCTCTCTGCCAGGTAGGGAGCTGAGAGGCAGACCCATCCAGCATTGTGTCTTTTTCTTAGCCAAGGACAAGCTGTCATACATAGCAGAGAGGATCTGTGATCCCAGGGGACCATTTCAAGGTCTAGGCTAAGTACTAAAAGAAACTGGCAGGAAATGGGGCCAAACTTTCTATTAAACAAGAGCTGTAAATCCCAGGTAGAGATGTTTTTTTGTGGAAACACTCTCCTCTCACCAACAAACTCTTGCTTTTAAGGTACCAGTGAAGTATTCTTTGAAATATTGGGCCCCCGAGGACAAGGTATTGAGCTTGCCTGCAGATCACATGGATGGTTCCCCAAACCCACTGTCGAGTGGGTTGTTCGGAATAAGCAGATGCTGTCTCCAGACACTGAAATACATCAGGACAGCAAGGAGCTCTTCAGTGTGCTGAGCCGAGTCACAATTACAGGACAGGAAGCGGAAGAAGTCACCTGTCAAATCCAGAACAACATGGCACAGGCTGAGAAAACTACTGTGCGCCTCTCAAGTGAGTCATACCTGTGTTGTGGTTTTACTTACCTGGGCAGCTGAGTTCCACCACAACAGCTCTCTCTCACTTCCCCTCCTCAAAGGGAAAGGGAAAGAAAATATGATGAAAAGGCTGAAGGGTAGAGATAAGAGCAGGGAGATCACTCAGTGTCCTGAGAAGCCTTTGCTATAACGATATCCTTTGTCCTAGAAGCTCTGTAAGGTGCTTTCCAGTGCCAGCGAAGTTAATAGGTCCAGCTAGAAGACAGAAGCTGGATCCAGTTGGAAGATAGTCCAGCTAGATGGATCACAAACCACCATGCCCAACTGCAGGCTGGACAGGCTGTAGTAAGGAAAGGGAAGGGTCCTTCTTGGCCTGAATGTTGTACAAGTCTCTAGAGAAGGCAGGCTCTGCCCCGGAAGGTAGGGTTTGTGGCTATTTCTTACATCAGTTCTAAGGGAACTCTTGGGTAGGTACTCTTTAAAAAGGTTAGATGCCCAAGGGACTGGTGAAAAACACTATCCCAGGAGTCCCAGATCATTGCTCATCCATCCACACATTTCTGTAACACTTATCACAGCTCAGCTGAATTAGCTTGTCTTTATAGACACTTGTAACCTCTGTGATCCAGAGGAAAAACGCCTGATAATTTTAGGGTAGAATTCAATTCTCCATCTTTTTCCAAAAGCTGAGATTTTGATCTGAATAGGTCAACTCAGCTCTGTAGTTCCTGGAGAAGTACTGACATGATCCCAAAGTGATTCCTCCTGATTGATTCCTCCTGATTGCACATTGCAAGATGAAACTCAAAGATTTTTCTTTTCAAAGGTGCTGCTTTTCCACATACATCTGCATGGATCCATGCATTCTGGATACTATTGACTTTAACTCTTCTTATAAGTGCTGTGAGCGCTCTTCTATTTAGAGGTAAGATTATTTTTATTTTTATTTTTTGCCTCAGTGAAACCTATTGAAGACAAAGTGGTCATTGAACAAAACAAAAGAGCTTGGCCCTTCATCCATACCATGCTAGGCACCTGTGGGTGTAGATACATCTGCACAGAGACACGCCACAAGATGTGCAAGTCTGCACTCAGCTGGTAGTGTGGCCAAAGTCCTGCTGCTGTGCAAAGTGGCCTTTATTTCAGTTGCCCCTGCCTGACCCCATCACACTGAAGTGTTCAAACCTGTCAGAGTTCAAGGTAGGGAGTGGAGATTGTTTATTTATCATAAGTTGCAAAATTTAAAGAAGCTAAGCCCAATACTCCCAATCTTTACATTGTACCTAAGCTGGAACCTTCAAAGAATACTTGGTAATACATTATGGCCTATAACAGAGTGGAAAAGAATGTAAAATAAAATAAAATAAAATAAAATAAAATAAAATAAAATAAACCCACTATAATTTCATAAAAAATGACATGGTTCAATTAAATACAAGTTATTTGTTTCTTCTACTCCATCCCCAGCATGATGTGCTTATACAACCCCCTGTGATACCCAACATGCTATGACCTGCCCCCAACCGAATTCAGATATTTTTTTCACATACAACCTACATATTATCTTCAGATATTTCCTCTGTTCTTCATTATTTCATTTTCTTCTTTGAACATTACAGCAAAACAGAGGACCTCTAAGAAAAAAAATGTTGTAGAAGAGACTTTTGAAAATCAAGGTAAGGGAGATGTCTAAGTACCCACTTCAACAATCAGTCACAGTTGCCATCCATCTTTCATCTGGAAAGAGATTTCCTTGCATTCACAGAAGAAAGCTACTATACTTGTGCTCTTATCTCAGCTGAAGAGTTTGTTAAAATATGAAAAACGTTTACTTTCCTAGGAGTCTTTTAGACTCACTAGCTTGCACAGGAAGATGTCAGTTCCTTTCCCTGGACATTTCCCTATGATGTGCCTTGAAATTCCTTCTGCTGTCATCCCTTCATCTAGCACAAGCACAAAGAACGCAACCCTCTGAACAGCTCAGAGCCCTTTTCCCAAGTCCCCATCTGACCAGGGAAGAATGTCTTAATTCCCAATATCTGAAAGCACTGAGGGAACCTGCAACCTCCTTGCATTAGTGGGTAACGGAAGAGAGAGTGCAGGCATCAGAAGGGGGCATCTCCATCTGTCTACAGGACTGAGGGACTGAGTGTTCTGAGGCTGACCTCTGTTAGGGCTATGACCATCTCTTTCGCATCAGTTTTCAATTCTCTGTGAGGAGTCTTATGGATCTCAAGCCATTACTCAATGTCTAACATTTTGTTTTTTTTCCCTTGCTGTACAGAATCTGAGAAAATGACATCAAATGCAGGTACAGTAAAATTAATCTCTCCACACTGAGAAAGTCCCACTCCAGTTTTCCCAAGTTTATGTAGTCATTATCCTTTATCCTTTCTCCCAGGCCAGGCATCCACCCTTCCTCACTGTGGGCCTCCTCCAATCTGCCCTTTCTTTTCACATCCTCATTTTCATTCCCATAAGAAGTTCACACTAAAGAAATTGTGGGCAAGGCATCTGCAGAACAAAATCCATGCCTGCATCCATCACTAGAATTCACCTCACAAAAATGGAGTGGGTGTAGGCTTATCTAGCTCGCTCAGGGTACCATGCTCAGAAGGGGAAATCACTTCACCGTCCCTTCAGGCCATGCATATCTGATGCAGAAATATCTGAAATGTCTTCTTCAAATCCTCAACACAGAAAGCAAAGATATTTTTATCTTTTTTCTCTTGCAGATTATGACTCACTGCAGGCTCGATATGGTAAGAGACCAATTATGGGAGAAAATAAATAGTGTGTTGCCACTATTGTGGAAAACATACATAGATACAAACTGTCTGTGTCCTGATGCTCTAGGCAGATGTTAGTGAGAGATGAAGTCCAGTTATCTGGCCTTGTGGTCATTATTCTTCTCCCTGGGTAGCTCTCAGTACCTAGTAGTGGTAGCTCCCTCTCACTGACCAAGCACATAACAGTCCATGTTTCTCTTTCAGATACAATAAACAGAGAACTAGGTAAGTCAAGGCATCTTCCTTTTCTCTGTCTCTTTAAAGACAATTCTGTCAGTGGTTGGGAGCCACACCTTCCACTGATCACACAGTCCTAGCAAAACACTGTACTCCAGACAGTGAGCTCCTCTTTGAGGGCTCAGAGGGACTCAATGGGGACTCCAAATGACAATGAATTATTATCCACCATTTCCCACACCAGTCAGAATGCTGCAGGATTAGAGAACTTGTCCCTAAGCTGCCTGATATATTTGGGGGGCGCTCGGGGCATATAATGCAAGTCCTGCGGGCTAGACCACTACATACACATGTGAAGGCCATGCTCAGCTCCCAAGGAGCTTCTCCTTTGTACCATGTCACAAGCTTTCCTCAGTGGCAGACCTGGGCCACTGCCAGGACAGAAGGTTTACTCCTTTGCTTGTGAGGTACCTCAGGCATGGCAGACCACTGCTCCACAAATGTGGAAGGGACATGGATCCAGCATGGGCATTTTGGCCTTTGAATACAGCCTCTGCTTTTGATTTGTGTTTTCTTTTTTTTTTTAAACAGAGTTCAGACGGGCTCGAAGCTACATGGGTAAGTTTGTGGACATGTAATCTGACAGAAGGGTTAGAAGCAAAGTCAAGGTGTCAAAGCTTGGAGCAAATCCCCTTGTTCCTTCTGGAACAAGCTGGCCAAAACACTGCTGAGAAGTGGCAAATGGACAAGGGTTGGTATCTCCCTTGGTTTTAGCTACACCCATGGTATGGGTCCCACAGTACTGAACCATGAGCAGCCAATTTGGGAATGAAGTTGTCATTCCTTGCTTGCCAGGAAATTGGCATTGCCCTCAGGCTACAAGCCACGTTTGAACTCCAACATGACCTGGGAGCATAGCTCTATTTCTAAAGCTCACTCTAAAAGACAACAGGTCCTTCTCCTAATAAGGATGTCGATGCCTGGGATTCTCTGCTATTTGTAACTAATGACTCCTCCTCTGTCTTCCCAGTGCCCATCACTCTGGATGTAGCACGGAAACACCCTGAGCTCACCCTGTCCCCTGACAAGAGGACAGTCCATCACAAGCCTTCTGATCAGGGTTCCATCATCAAGTGTCAGCTTCCCATCGTGGTGGGCAGGGAGGGCTTTGCCTTGGGGCGGCATTACTGGGAGGTGCAGGTGTGGGATGGGCTGGACTGGGAGGTGGGGGTACTGACAGAGACTGTGAGGGACACTCTGATAGGAGAGAGCTGGGAGGAGCTTCCTAAGCATGGAATCTGGTCACTGAGAAGGGAGAAAGGAAAGTTCTGGCCTGAGGAAGCCAATAATGTGATTCATCAGAATACTGCCCCACTAGCAGCAGTTGGGCTTGACCTGGACTTAGAACAGAACACGCTCTCCTTCTACAATGCTGGAGTTTCAGGACGTATCCTGGAAGTCTCCATTGAACCATCAATGAAACTATACCCTTTCCTCAAACCAGGCCTTGGTAAGGTAGGAGAGAAGGGGAAACCCCTCTCCATAAACCACAACACAGGGTGGGACTACCCACAAAAAATGCAGCATGATATGGTACGTGGAAACCTGACCTGAGCTGCAGTGATTCTTCTGGTCTCCATGGAGAGGGAGAAAGGACAGAGCAGCAGAGCATATCATTGACAGCCCTGCTTGGCTCCATCCAAACTCTGTCAGTGGCAGAGAAGTCTGGACTGGCAAATACAGAAAGAGCAGGAAGTATACTTGTGCTTGTCATTTGAAATGCCATCAACCCCCAGGAGCAACACCTGGACCTATCAACCAAGGAGATGCACTCATACCTTCTGCAGCTACCAGTTTTTGCTATTCCCTTGTCTTTGCAGTCCATGTTCCTCTTTATTAAATAGAAAATGAAATAAGAAAGAGTGATTTTTCCTGTGATGCTGAGTGCTCTGCTGTTGTTCTGTCTTTCTTCTTCTTACTGAAAATCTGCTGATGTAGAGGGATTCAAAGCCGTTCCTGCCCAGATTGTTACGTTCCCATATAGCAACAATCTTCTGGAAATCCCTTGCAGCTAGTTAACTGATGCTTTTTGATGCAGGAAGCACTCTTACTAGAGATCCCAGATCTCAATAAATGTGATGCTTCTTTGTTGCCTTGAGGTTCTTTCCCTGAGGGCAGCTATTTTTCCTTTGAAGTGCCTGCTTATGTTCAGCAGAAGGGATAATTTCTTATTGTCTGCAGCAAGTGCACACCCCCAGATCATGAGCCTTGACTCCCAGCCCTGACAAGCACAATGCAGACCCAAGTGCAAATGTTGACAATACAGGCACTGTGAAGCAGTCTCCTAGGGAAATTATTTGGATTTTCACTTGTCCCAATTCTTTCAGCTGCCCTTCCCAGCCTGCTGTGCCCCATGGGAGGTACTGAAGACACTGCAGGAGAGGCAACAAAAGATTATTGCTTCATAGTGAACTCTGAAGAGCAGTTGAAATGACCTATCAACAGTAACACTGATGTTGCAGCAGCCAGACTAAGGCAGCAACACAAACTGAGGGCACAAGGCCTCTCTGGGCTCAAGTTGGCACACAGGTGGATCCCCTGAGGGGTGAAGTGTCAATCCAGACTGGATACTGTACAGAGCTCCACAACCTGGAGGCCTCCCTGGGCCCTGAGGGAAGAGGGGACCCTGGAGCATCTTCCCTATGAAGAAAAGCTGAGAGACCTGGGCTTGTTCAGCCTGGAGAAAAGAAGACAGAGAGGGCATCTCATCAATGTGTATAAATACACATAAATACAAGGTGTGGGGGACAGAGGGATTTGGACAATCTCTTTTCAGTGGTTTGTGGGGACAGAACAAGGGTTAATGGCCACAAAATGCAGCACTAGAAGTTCCAAACCAACATGCGAAAGAACTTCTTCACAGTGAGAGTGTCAGAGCACTGGAACAGGCTGTCCAAGGAGGTTGTGGACTCTCCTTCTCTGGAGATATGCAAGGACCATCCAGATGCCTACCTGGGCAGCCTGCTCTAAGGAACCTGCTTTGACAGGGAGGTTGTACCCGATGATCTCTTAAGGTCCCTTCCAACACCTATAATTCTGTGATTCTGTGATTTCTTAGAGAAATTACCCGACCAAGCTCAAATTTTCTTGGAGGCGCCTGGTAGAGAGTTTTTCCAAGTTAAGAAAGTTGATTGCTAAAGGGAGTTTGGCCATAGCCAAACCAGCATCATGATTTTCTATTCTATGTTCTCGTGATCGTTATATGCCTACTCTTTCCCTAACTGAGGATCTTTCATTGTTCACCATGCCACAGTCTTGGAAAAGTCTCTTTTGGCCTTGTTGTTCTATTTTTTTTCCCCCAACAAAACAGAAAGCAAATGAAAAATCCATTCTGCTCTGCACACCTTCATCTCCTTGAGCCAACAACCCTTTTGAAGATGATGGAACAGCTCATCTGGAAAGCATTTCCAGGTCTTTAAAGGAAAAACCAGTCATCAGGAGTAGCCGGCATGAATTCACCAAGGCGGGGGGCATGTTTGGCCAACTTGAAAGTCTTCTATGATGAAATGACTGTCCTGTTTGATGAGGGAAAAACACACACCTTGCCTACCTCTTCCTCAGGAAGGCCTCTGACACTATCTTGCCTACGATCCTCATAGAGAAGCTCTTGATGTCTCAGCAAGTGTAGTGGGTTTATGTGGAAAGTTTTTGGTAGCGGGGGTGGTGGTGGTGGTGGGGGGTGGCTTCTGTGAGAAGAATCCAGAAGCTGCCCCATGTTAGATAAGGGACCCACTGATGAGCTGTGCCAATAAGCGTTATTTTTGCACCTCTGTGAGAGCGTATTTAAGAAGGGGGGGGAGGGGGGGGGGGGGAAGGGAATAATTCTCTGCTACACAGCAGCTTGGAGAGAGAAAAGAGTGAGAAAAGGACTTGTAGGCACCAAGACCTGTGCAGAAAGAGGGCAGGAGGTGCTCCAGATATTGGATCAGAAGTTCCCCTGCAGCCTGTGGTGAGGACCATGTTGAAGCAGGTTGCCCCCCTGCAGCTCATGGAATACCATGATGGAGCAAGGTTCCATGCTGCAGTCTGTGGAGGAGACCATGGTAGAGTAGGTTCCGGGTGTGTTGGGTCTGTCTGAGCTGGAGTCACCTTTCCCTGCAGCAGGCCGCACAGTGCTGTGCTCTGTACTCGTAGCTGGAACAGCACTGATACCACTCCAGTGTGTGTCTATTGCTGCATAGTGCTGGCACAGCATCAGGACTCCTTCTGAGCCCCAAGAGCCAGCAGGCTGGGGGTGGGCAAGTGATGGGAGGGGACATTGCCGGGGCAGCTGACCTAAACCAACCAAAGGGATATTCCATAACACCTGATGTCACACTCAGCAATAAAAGGGGGGGGTTCTCGTGGGGGAGGGGGCTGTTCCTCCTGAACAACCACTACGCGTTTGAGGCCCTGCTTCCCAGGACGTGGCCGAACACCACTCGCTGATGGAAGTAGAGAATAATTTTTTCTCTCTCTGTGCTTCCGTGCGGACTGATTGTTTCTTTTGTTTCTGTTTTTCCTCCCCATTCCCTTTCCCTTTAATTAAACCTTTCTCATCTCAAACCTCGAGTTCTCTGTGTTGTATTTTCTCCCCCTTCCTTTTGAGGAGAGGGGGAGTGAGAGAGCGGTTGTGGTGGAGCTCGGCTGCCCACCTGAGTAAAACCACCACACCGGGCCACAGCTGTAGCCTGTGGAACGGAGACCACACAGGAGAAGGAGATCTGGGGAGAGCTGCTGCCCATGGGGGCCTCATGTTAGAGCAGTGTGCTCCCGAGAGATGGACCCCATGGTATGGACCCATATCTGGAGCAGTTCTTGAAGAGCTGCTGCCTGTGGGAAGCCCACGCAAGATCATTTCAGAAATGATAGCATCCCGTGTGAGGGACCCCACATGGAGCAGTGGCAGAGAGTGACTGAGAAGCAGCAGTAGAGACAAAGTGCTACAGACTACCACAAACCCCATTTCCCTGAACTGCTCAGGGGGAGGAGGTACAAGAGAGTGGATGGGGGGAAGGCATTTTTGGTTTCTTTCCTCTGTTTCTCACTTCTCTATCTTGTTTGTAATAGGCAATAAATCTTACTATCTCCCTACTCTGAGTCTGTTTCACCCATCATGATAGTTGTTGAATGATCTCATCCTTATCTCAACCCTTTTTTATTGTATTTCCTTCCCCTTCTACTTTGAGGAGGGGGAGTGAGAGAACAGCTCAGGTGGAGCCTCACCTCCACCACAGGCTTTGAGCATCCCGGTCTAGTGGAAGGTGTTCCTGCCCATGACAGGGACGTTGGAATTAGTTGATCTGATTTTTGTTTAGTCCTGTGCTACCTGAAATGGAAGCTGTTCCCATTATTTGGCTTTGAAGTTTCTACAGGCTTTTGCCACAGAAATGATAGATCACAGAAAGGTAAATGCTGTCATGTCTGGAGATCATCTGATCAAACCCCACTGCTCAAGCAGGTCCACCTAAAGCAGATTGCCCAGGACCGTATCTTTGTATGATGATGGTTCAAGGTCAAGTTGGATGGGACCCTGGACAACCTGATCTAAGGGGTGTCATCTCTGTCCTTGGTGCAGGATTTGTAAACAGATGATCTTTAAGATCTCTTCCAACCCAAGACAGTCCATGGTTCTATGTTTCTATGATTCCCTGAGCTGTAACGTCGCATCTGCCAAAAATACCACAAGCTGTAACTGCCATTAATCTAAAATAAAATTGTTTTTCTCCTACTCGCAAAAGACTTTCCAATAAACGTAGTTTTTCTTGACGCTGTTTCCTATTTATGAGATTTTAACCAGAACTCTTAATCTAGTGCTTCCCAGCATCGTCCTTTAAGATATCTTCAGTTCCTTGCCTGCCATTGCTTCCTTGCTTCCAATGTGTGTCTTTGCTTCTTTGACCCTGACTGTAAATTTAACTTTCATAAAAATGACCAAAAACCAGGCTTGGTTTTCAATGTCATGAGAATGGTGGGGTTTGAAAGGTTTTGTGAGGTAAGTGATTTCTGGCCACTTTCCCATGACTATCTGCCAAGAGCTAGGGGTGATCAAAAGGATTCTCAGCATCCTGACATCTGACTGTGTGAAGTGCCTCTTGGGCTAATGATAGACTTGCCAGGAGAGGGTGTTCTAGCAGGAGGAATTCCCAACACAGAGGAAGGGAAAGACATTCTCCTTCTACCACAAGCTCTTCTGCAAACTGTGCAAGGGAGAATTTGTACAGGTATTGTAAATTGTCAGTGTTCTTGCGGATGTATTCTTTGCCTCTTGATGAGAGAAAAGGATTAAATGCATGAATCTAGAAATGGCAGGAAGGACAAAGCTTGAGAGAAAACTCATCAACATGGAAAGCTTGGCTATCTTGATTTTTATGTGTGAATTCTGTTCTTTGTACACTAAAAAAGTAAGGTTATTTATACTTTTCAAATTCCCCTGAACATTGTTTGGACTTGTGGTGGTTTTATGCGGGTAGGCAGCTATGTCCACCACAGCCACTCTCTCACTCCCCCTTTTCCAAGAAGAAGGGGGTAGAAAATACGACACAGAGAGCTCAAGATTTGAGATAAAGATGATTTAATTAAAGGGAAAAGGGGAGAGAGAGAGATAAAAAAAAAAGGCAAAGACCTCACGAGAGCACAGAGAGAGAACAGCAGTTACTCTCTACTTCCCACCAATGAGCAATGTTCAACCACATTGTGGGAAGTAAGGCAGCAAGGCCTCAATACACATAGTGGTTGTTCAGGAGGACAGACGCTTCCACAGCGAAAGTTTTCCACCGCTTCCCCTTTCCCACCTTTTAGTGCTGAGTGCGACATCATATGGCATGGAATATTCCCTTGGTCGGTTTAGGTCAGCTGCCCTAATGATGTCCCCTCCCCATCACTAGCCCAATGATATCTTGAGGTCCCTTCCAACCCCTACATGATTCTGTGATTCTGTGAATCTGATAATAGCTTTGTCATTTGAAGCAGAAAAAAAAAGTATTATATCTGGGCTATGATCAGAGCTGTCTGACACTCCTGTGATATCCTTCCAGTGTGTCTTCAATACCTCCCATAGGGCACAGCAGGCTGGGAAGGGTAGCTGAAAGAATTGGGACAAGTGAAAATCCAAATAATTTCCCTAGGAGACTGCTTCACAGTGCCTGTATTGTCAACATTTGCACTTGGGTCTGCATTGTGCTTGTCAGGGCTGGGAGTCAAGGCTCATGATCTGGGGGTGTGCACTTGCTGCAGACAATAAGAAATTATCCCTTCTGCTGAACATAAGCAGGCACTTCAAAGGAAAAATAGCTGCCCTCAGGGAAAGAACCTCAAGGCAACAAAGAAGCATCACATTTATTGAGATCTGGGATCTCTAGTAAGAGTGCTTCCTGCATCAAAAAGCATCAGTTAACTAGCTGCAAGGGATTTCCAGAAGATTGTTGCTATATGGGAACGTAACAATCTGGGCAGGAACGGCTTTGAATCCCTCTACATCAGCAGATTTTCAGTAAGAAGAAGAAAGACAGAACAACAGCAGAGCACTCAGCATCACAGGAAAAATCACTGTTTCTTACTTCATTTCATATTTTTTTCCCAGCACAAGACTACATCCCAAAACAAGGAGAGTAAGACTGTTTCACACAGCCTCTCAAGAAACACTGGTAACAAGTCGGGCAAGAGACCTTCAGGAAGCAGAGCATACTTGCAAAAGTAAATTTGCAAGAATTCTGAAACAGAATTCAGAAGTATTTTTGGGAAGGTTTGGTTCAGTTCATTAGAATGCTCCCCCACTCTAGAACAGTAGACCACTTTTGCACAAATATATATCACAAGTATTTCAGTGACCTGAAATCCAGGTCTTCCTACAGAAGTGGATCAGAGAAGGCTTAGCAAGTAGTGGTGAAAACATCTTTTATGAATTAGCTTTTCGGTTTTAATTTGGTGGCAAAAAGCATGGGGTTAAATACAACGTAGTCAGAACCAAAGCTCTGGATTTCAACCATGCATTAACTGAGCATTCTCAATTCACCCCATTCACTTATCATCGTCATCAAACCCCTGGGCTATTTGTAGAGGCTCAGTGTCAACCTGTGTTGTAGTGGGACCTGTTGAGAAGAAAGGAAAGAGCTTCATTTCCTGGCTGCAGTCATTATGAAAGGAAAAAATATACAAAGCATTCTTCTGGTGGACATTGTAAAATAACAGCTTCTTGGCTGAGATATCCAGGAAGATCCCAATCTTACGTGGTTTACCACCCACAGTCAAACGGGTCCAGGATCTGTGTAAGCCCAATAGTCTTGCCCATCTGTCAACCCTATGGCCCAGAAGCCATTCTGAGGAGAAAGAACCAAAGTCCCTTTGCGTGTCACAGTCTTCTTGGCAACACCCAAGATCCAGTTTCTCCTCTTTCCAACATCCACTTCCCAGTAGAGTCTCCCAGATGCATAACCTTCCTTTGCCAACACAAAAGTGTGGGAATCAAATCTCTCCTTCTTGCTATGCACCCTTCTGATTGCACCAGTGTCAGTTACACTCTTCCCGTCTTTTGACACTTCCAGCCTCGGATGAGCCGTGTCAGCATCAAGGGTGACATCAACTGCAATAGTCAAGTCATTTGTTAAGTAGGAAAGAGCAAAAAGATCACTGTTTTGAAGCTTTCTCTTTGTTGACATTTTGCATTTATTATTCTCCTACCATGTCTTGATCTCCACTTTGATAGGCCCTAGGAAGTTGCTTTGACCAGGACCCCCCCTCACCTTCTGCCATCTCAGATCTCCTATGTCCCATCTATGGCACACTGAGAGAGAGGCCAATATTCAGCAAATTTAACGCTCATAGAGACACTTCCCTGAAAATGGCATGTAGCTTCAAAACGGAATGTAAGGAGATTACAAGCCTTTGCCTTAATCACTGGAGCTGTATAGAGGTGATGACCGGATAAGAGGCATGCTTACATACAGAACTTGTTTTTGAGTAAAACTAGGACCACAACATCCTCTTGTATGAGAATGGGGAGAAATTCTATTGGTCAAGACTGGCACATGCACCATGTTATCACACACTTGGCAGTAGAAAAGCTGGAGCTAAACACCCTGAAATGATCCTCTCCTTCTTTCAAAGTGCAACACGGTTTCTTCTGGAGAAGAAATTATATTACGTTCCAGAAGCAGTAAACAATGGCCTTGCAGAGTTTCCAGGACACCAAATGAATAAGAGAGATTCGGAAACAAATTTTGCTGTTATGCTTTTAGTTTCATAACTGTTACCTGAGAAGGGCAAGTTTTTTAAAGAACTGCATTGAAGATCCAAGTAGTGGAATTCAGCAAGTTTTGTTCTCATTTCTTACCTTTGTACCGCTGTGCATGCAGCAGTTCTGTGGAAAACAAGAAAAGGATGCAAAGGGTGTTTTTCAGGAGACCAAGCGTCCAATGACTTATATAACAGCCTATGCTGTTGGTATAAGACCATGCTCTTCTACAATAGCGTGTCTCTTCTACAGGTCAGAAAGCTAATCAGAACGCTATTTAACTTTCCATGGTAAAGAAGAAAAAAACAAACGAGGAAAACAACTGTTATATACATCAGGCATAGATAATCAGGAAGTCCACAGTTTCTGTTAGTGGAGCCCTGCAGCACCAAAATGAAAAGGTGAAAGACAGTCTACAAGTGGCTAGGGGGCACTGCCTTGGCAAATCCAAAGCTAAAGAGCACCAGCTGGAACAGCGAGACCAAGGCACGGACAGGTGCCTGGAAAAGCCGTCCTCATGATCTCAATGACTGTATTTCCACACAGAGAAGCTGAAAGATACTTGGACTCTGGGCAGTACAACATCAAGAGCCAACATTGGAAGAACCCCACTATCCTCCAGGATGCTCACTATATCTCAGGGCAATGGCCCTGACTGGCACACACAGCCTGCATCTTTGCTGCCTCTAAGGCTATGCCAGCTTCATGCCTTTGCTAGCTGTTGAGGTGCTGAAGGACACAGCAGCTCTCCTTGGCCAGACACTTGCACATCAGAAGCTGCAGTAGCCCTAAAACAACACCACTAAACAGTCTTGCTGCCTCACACTGCGAATTCAACCTGGCAGTTCTCTATGGCCCAGAGCTTGGCATTCACTTTCCTCAGGGCTACTTCCTCTCCTGAGGTGCTGCTTTAAGCCTTGGCTCAGCATCAAGATCATTGAGCTTTCACAAGGAAGCCCACTAAACAACGGGGTCCCAAATGGTATAAGACCATCACAGAATCTGCTCTGATTGCATGCTTGGACAAAAAATAGACCAGGATTGCTCCATCCCTGATACTTCCACCCTCCACTTACCTTTAGTGATAGTTTTAATCTTTCCAAATACATGCAATCAGGGTCAATGAACATTTTTTTATAAATGTTTAAAAATTTAAAATAGTATCCATAAGTTAAACATCAAGATTATGGGAGCAAGGAGATTCCTCCAAGCAAGTGTCTCCAGTTTCTGACAGGAATTACACTCCACCCGAAGGAAACAGGGCTGCTCACTGGACCAGGCTCTCCAGCTCCAGCCACCACTTCTCAGGCTTCCCTCCAAATCCCTTTCCCTCACTCTTGCTTGTGTTCCAAAGACTCCTCCACACAGGTCCACTATACCATGTCCCAAAAAACTACACATCAGCTGTTGTGCTTGGCCTTCAGGCAGACAGACACGCTTACCGTTCTCCTTCTTCAGGGACTCTGCAAGAAGAGAGTGAGAAGGGAAGACACAATGCTTAGTATCCTGTCCCAAAAAAGGTCTGGTGGAAGAGAATGGGAAGCCTTCAGCAAGCCACACTCATCCTCCACCAGCACCTGCACCCAGCCACTGCTGCCCCATGCACAGAGGCACGGGAGCAGCACTCTGCACACACTCACCCATCGTGTCTGCATCCCCCTGCATCCTGCCTGGTGCCTGCAGCTCCTCTGCAAATACAAGTGAGGAGAAAGAAGAGAAATGAGGGCTGTGCCAGGCAGGAGCTGCTGCCAACAGGGGGAACAAGAGATCCCTTGGTTCTGGGCAGTATAGCATCCATCTCCAATGCTGGGAGATCCCCACCCCACTATCCTCTCTGCTGCTCCCCACAGTCTACCTCCACCAACCCCTGTACAGAGGCAGGACTACCCTGGGCACTGAGGAATGAGTCCCATGTCCATACCAAAACTTCTCTACACTTTCCTTCTGGTTCACACCTGGACAGGATCCCAGCTGCTCTCTACTTCCCAGGGGACAGTGATCCCCTTCCCTGGTTTTGTTTTCCCTCACAGTTTCATGCATATAGTCTTCTCTCAGCCATAATGACACTGAGCTTTCACTAGGGAACCCATTCTGAATCAGCATCCTTAACATTATGAGAAAATCCCATCAGTCATGTCAAATGAACAGTGGGGAAAAAGAAAGCCCAGGTGCCCAGGAGAGGCCCAACCCTCGCACGGTCCTCATTCCACAATGGAGCTTGATTCCATGGGCATCTATGGACATTACATACTGAACACCTACACCTATCAATCTTCCTCTGGGCGTTTATTGAAATGAAAAATAAAATAATAAAATAAAATAAAATAAAATAAAATAAAATAATAAAATAAAATAAAATAAAATAAAATAAAATAAAACAAAAAAATAATAGTAATAAACAGTTCTTTCAAGTTCCCTTCTTCCCAGGGAATGGTGTTCTCTTTCCTTGAGGTTCTTTTCTCACCAGTTGCCCTGATTCACCAGTTAATTGGGCAATAGCTACAATCTATATTCTGAAGTCAACATTTCTCTGATCTGCTTCTGCTGTCTCCTGTCAGTAATTCCTACCATCCCTGCTGAATGCATGCTGTGGTAGGAGAACAGCCTTGACTGATAGGTGAGGACAACCCTAGTAGAATCACCTCTCCCATTCAGAGCTCTCCCTTTGTACGTCAATTATATGTGCTATATACTCAGACTTATCAGTCTGAGACTATCTATCTCATTCTATCCCATTCTCCCTGCTTTGGTCTGTGATATCACACCCATCAGGACCATTTCTAGCACAGGACAGAATATCTTCTGTAAGGGGAAAGGTCTCAGGGAACTGTAAATTTGTCTTGCTTATAGTACCACCGCGGTACACTGCCATTGTCGCCTGTGAGGAATAGACTTGACTGTTACCTTTTAGAAAGGACCAAGAAGAGACAGGTCTTATTTCAATGCCACAGCCTTACAGCATATTGTAGCATAAAACATGCAGATTGTGACCTGTGGTTTGTTTTTTTATCTTTCATCCCAAAAGGACACGTTGCTGGGTGAGATGGTGTAATGAGGACAGAATCCACAAATGCACACAAGGACTGATGGGGCACTCCTTATCCAAAGGAAGAGAAGCAGAGCTGAGTCCAGACACTGTACTTCTAGCACTTTCCCTGAGCCTCTCATCCTCCTGTGCTAATTCCCTCTGTGAATTGTGGGTGCCTTGAACTGGAAGACCATGATGGTGGGAATGACAGACTCCCAACCAACCCAGAACATGTGCGGGATTTGCTGCTCTGCCTGGATTCATACAAGTCCATGGGTCCAGGTGCTTAAAGAGCTGGCTGATGTCATCACGGGACCTCTCTCAATTATTTTTTTCAACAATCTTGGGAATCTGGAGAGGTCCCAGTGGACGGGAAGCTGGCAAATGTTGTGCCAATTTTCAAGAAGGGTAAGAAAGAAGACCCTAGCAATTACAGGCCTGTCAGTCTCACGACAGTGCCTGGTAAAATTCTGAAGATGAGTCTTGAAGTTACTGAGGCGCACCTTGGGAAAATGCAGTCACTGGTCCCAGCCAACATGGGTTCCTGAGGGGTAGGTCCTCCCTAACAAATCTGATTTCCTTTTCTGATAAGATCACCCATCTAGTCGATCAAGGGAAACCAGCTGATGTCATCTGTTTGGACTTCAGCAAGGGTTTTGACACAGTTTCCCATAGGATCCTACTGGATAAAATGTCCAGCATACAGTTAAACCAAAACATCATACTATGGGTGAGCCATTGGCTGATGGGCTGGGCTCAAAGGGTTGTGGTTAATGGGGCCACTTCTGGCTGGCAGATGGTCAATAGTGGGGTCCCTAAAGGCTCCATTTTAGGGCCAATCCTCTTCAACATTTTTATAAAAGATTTGGATGCAGGACTAGAAGGTGTTCTGAGCAAATTTGCTGATGACATAAAACTTGGAGGAGTTGTGGACTCTGATGAGGGTGGAAAGGCCTTGCAGAGAGACCTGGACAGATTGGAGAGCTGGGAGATCATCAACCACATGAAGTTTAACAAAAGCAAGTGACAGATCCTGCACCTGGGATGGGGCAACCGTACTGTGACTTTATGTATAGACTGGGCAAAGAGACACTGGAGAGCAGCCCTGCAGAGAGGGATCTGGGGATTGTGGTTGACAGCAAGGTGAATATGAGCCAGCAGTGTGCCCTGGAAGCCAGGAGAGTCAACCGAATCCTGGGGTGCATCAAGCACGGCATTGCTAGTTGGTCGAGGGAGGTGATTGTCCCGCTATACTCAGCGCTGCTGCGGCCTCACCTCGAGTACTGTGTGCAGTTCTGGGCACCACAGTACAAAAATGACATAAAACTGTTGGAGAGTGTCCAGAGGAGGGCAACAAAGATGATGAAGGGCCTAGAGGGGAAGATGGCTGAGGAACAGCTGAGGTCACTAGGTCTGTTCAGCCTGGAGAAGAGGAGGCTGAGGGGGGACCTACTTGCGGTCTACAACTTCCTCACGAGGGGGATTGGAGAGGCAGGTGACTTATTCTCTCTAAACACCAGTGATAGGACCCACAGGAATGGTGTTATGCTGAAGCAGGGGAAGATAAGGCTGGACATCAAGAAGAGGTTCTTCACTGAGAGGGTGGTTGCACTCTGGAACAGGCTCCGCAGTGAAGTAGCCACTTCACCAAACCTGTCTGAATTTAAAAAGCAGTTGGACTGTGCATTTAGTCACATGGTCTAAACTTTTGGGTAGACCTGTGCGGTGCCAGGAGTTGGACTTGATGATCCTTATGGGTCCCTTCCAAATCGGGATATTCTTTGATTCTATGTTTCCCTTACATTTGCCTGTATGAATTGAGTGCCAGAGGAATACAGAAAACACAGACACCCTATGATCCTGCCTGATAGGTCTTCCAGGTAAAATGGAGACTAGGAATTGCCCTACTCCGTCTCTCTCCAGGCAGGTTTGGTGGGCTGTGGGAGAGAAGACTGTATGTTGATGAGGAAGATGAGTAAGTGAAAGGGAGAAACAGTAGTGGGATGTTAAGGTCAATGTTCCTAGAGCCCCAACAGAGACCTTCACCAAAGCTACAGATCACTGAGAGCTCATCAAAAACACTCCCTTGAAAAAAGTGGGAGAGACCTTTACAACCTGAAGACACCATATTGGCATTGGAACTGTTTCAACGGTGAGGGACACTTGGGAACACTCTCCCCCAAAGAAAGGGCTGTATTTCTTGATCACATTCTAGGAGAAAGTGAGGGCTTTCTCACTGAATGATGAAAGATAATTTTGGCTTTTAGGGAGTCTGCCTGCTTGCAAATTACTGTGCTCACCTTGTTCACTGTCTATCTTCAGCAGGTTCTCCTCAGACCACGACCTCTTTGCTGCCTCCAAATCATTGCTTATTTTAGCCTGCATCTCTGCTCTGAAGACCTCAAGGTCTTGCTTTCTGGATGCCTCCGTGTTCTGCAAAGATGTCGTCAGAGATTGCATTTGTTCAGAGATTGCCTGCAGGGAAGTCTGGGTGTTGGCCAGTTCCTCCGGAGGTGGGGCTGCGTGCTGTGCGACTTCCAGTTGGCTCTGCAACACAGCCAGCTTCTCAGTCAGAATCCTCTCCACCTCCTCCCGCATGGATTCCAGCACCCTTGTGGTGTTTCTTTCCACGGTCCTTCCTGCAAAGAAAGAGAGGAGCCACTGGGAAAGTGACATCGCTTCCTGGCAAGTGTGTCCTCAACTTTCTAAAGCGGGAGAGCACTTCATCTTAGAAAAGTCAGAGAAAATGCTCTTTTGATTTCTGTGCTGATGTGGACTTACCTCCAGAGTACATTGTGGCACAAAAGGTGCCATTCCTTAGATGTGTCTTATGGGAGGGGGACACTACTGATAGCCAGATTGGGATGGGAGGAAGGAATCCACACAAGGACTGAGTGGGCACTCCTTGGCCAGTGGAAGTGAAGTGGAGCTTACCAAAGGCCTTGACTCCAGATCCCTCCCCTTAGATCTCCGTCCAGGGCTTTCAGTCTCTCATGGCAATTTTCCCCTGTAAGTGACTCCTTCCCCATACTCACAGAATCAAACATACAGAATCTTAAACATATCAGGTTTTGGAGGGAGCTTCAGGATCATACAGTTCCGAACCCTCTGCCATAGGCAGAGATGACACCCATTAGACCAGGTTGCCCAGGGCCTCATCTAACCTGGTCTTTAACACCTCCAGCAATGGGGTAGCCACAGCTTCTCTGGGCAGCCTCCCCACGTTTACTGTGAAGACCTTCCTCCTAAACTCTCATCTAAATCTCCCCTCTTTTAGTTTAAAGCCATTCGCCCCTGTCCTGACATTGTCTTCTTGAGAAGAAAAAATCATAATAATAAAAAAGTTACTCTCTTTCATTTCCTTTATAGGCTCACTTTAAGTACTGAAAAACCGCAAGGATGTCATCGCAGAGCCTTCTCTTCTCCAGGCTCAACATCCCCAGCTCTCTCAGCCGTGCCTCATGGGAGAGGTGCTCCAGCCCTCTGATAAGCTTTGTGACCTTTCTCTGGACCCACTCTAACAGATCCAAATCCTTCTTGTGCTGGGGGCCCTAAACCCGGATGCAGTACTTCCAGTCAGGCCTCACGAGAGCAGAAGAGAGAGGGACAAGCCCCTCTCCTGACCTGCTGGCCACTCCTCTCTTGATGCAGTCCAGGATGCACTTGACCTTCTAGGTTGCAAGCACGCGCTGCTGGCCCATGTCAAGCTTTTTGTCCTCTAGAACTCCCAAGTCTTTCTCTGCAGGGCTGCTCTCAAGGAGTCCTGCTCCCAGCCTGTACTCGTGTAGGATTGCCCTGGCCCAGCTGCAGTACCTTGCACTTAGATTTGATGAATTTCTTTAGGTTCACTTCTCAGTCTTGTCCAGGTCTCTTTGGGTGGCACCCCTTCCTACTGATGTTTCAGATGCACCATGCATCTTGGTGTCATCTGCAAACTTGCTGAGGGAGCATTTGATCCCATTGCCTATGCTGTTGATAAAGATAATAAGCAGTACCAGATGCTGGACAGACCACTGAAGGATACAACTCATCACCGGCCTCCAGCTGGACACAGAGCCATTGACCAGCAGTCTGGGTAACACCTTCAAGCCACTTCCTTATCCCCTGTATGGTGCAGCCATCATAGCC